TGTCTTAACAGCGCGTTTTAGAAAATACCACAAATGGCGCGGTAAACGCCATCTGTAGTACGATGCTACATTTTAGGATTACGTATGCTCCAACAAGGTCCATTTAAATATATGGATATCTACTTGCTAAAATGAAATGTTTCGTTTCAGCAAGTAGATATCCACACTAGTGGACCTTGTTGGAGCATACGTAATCCTAAAATGTAGCATCGTACATTAATTTCAGTTTCTCGATTTTTGGAACCAACCACAAGATGACAATACACCCTACTTATACGAAACATACCTGAAGACCGAACCATTTAAATTCGGCATATACTAATTTGTAACATGTCATAACTGGTTGCACTGAATTTTTCCAGTTCGGTCCTACAAGAGGCCCCCTTCCTGTCTTTTTTGACTTGAACTTTGTGGGATCCTCGTCCTCTTTGTAATCATGAGAATGTACAGGGTCGTTTGCAATGTCAATGGGCACCACATCTCGCTGTTTTAATTTTTCTGGCGGCAGTTCGTGCACCTAATACAAAAAATAATAATAAAAAATTCACGGATAAAGTGCAAGCAAAAAACAGTGTTACCATATCAAGTTCCCTCCTCTACTTACGTTTTCTTTATCTCCTTTGTCTGGCAGATGTAGACTTTCTATACAGATCACAAAATTTTCTTTCATGTACCCTGGATTCTGTAAATACAAAGAAAAATAACTAGTAAAAAGACACGTTTAATAGAAATAATTTATCATTAATAAATACACAGTGTTGAAATTGTGTTAGCAATAATTAAAAGGTTATCCAAGATCTTTTTTAGACGCCCAGTGTATTTAGAACTTTTCAACTTGATGTATATTAGGGGTGTGTTCCGAAATATAACCCAGCATACTGGCCAGTGCTGATAATGTTATGAATCGGCGCCATATTGTACTGGTGAGACAAGTGTGATGTAGTAGTATATCAAACGGATGTGTGTGTATCTGACTTTGAGGAATTTTTTGTTGTAAGAAACTTTAATAACTTTTGGAGCAAAAGTTTTATAAATGAGCACAAGCTCTATTCTCAATATGGCGTCAATTTGACGTCACAGCACTGGCCAGTATATTTCGGAACGAATTAACAGTATGGCGTCAGTTCATGACGTCATCAGCACTGGCCACTATGCTGGGTTATATTTCGGAACACAACCTAGGTAATTGTTAATTATGGACTGTTTTTATCTTTGCGCATCAGGTAAACAAATAATCAAGCAGAATACAAATAAAAACNTTTGTTGGTATTTCTGCAGGTGACAAAATGTTTATTAAGTCCCCACAGTTTACCCAATTGTTCGTTATTAAGAAAATGTCATTGAAAAATATTTTACATATTATCGTTCTACCCAACCATAAACCAACTAATCGTAAGATACTTTAAAACAGATTAGATAATCATTCAAAAAAAATACAATGTTAACTCGTCTTCTATTTGCCAATCGCATCTAGGCCATAATAATAAAAACTAGCATTTTTACTAATACTTATTGCTATGAATTCTCGATATGAATATTATTTATATCTATACAAATGTATTTATAATATCAATTATCGATTAGAACTTTAGATAACATTGTCACGATTCAAAAGTATCTAAAAATTTAGCTTCCAAAAAATTTTTTAATACAAATTGTAGTAATATTTTTATTTGACACTATCATTTAGTATTAACCATTATACACTATTTCTACACCATTAAAAAACCTTTTTTACGTAAAAAAAATGTTAAAAATAGGACCAATAACTTACAAATTTTAATAATACAAAATAAACTTGTCTTTTTTAAAATCATACCAAGCACACAACGATTCTTACCGCAAAAAAAATCAACGTTATGTTGTAAATTCTAATTAAACTTCATCAAAAAGTTGACTACTCCACTGTATTCTAATCGAAAATATGTCTTATGGACTTAAAAAACAACTTAGATTTTTGTTTTTCGAGTTTCAAAAAAGTGCTTCACATGTTTAGTATCATGCTATGGCGTTGAAATTTAAAACTTATCAAAACTGCAAAAAATTGAACTTTGACATTTATCTCTAACCGAAAAACAAAAAAAGTTCAATGTATTTTGCCCGAGTACCTAATTCAATTTAATTAAATCTATGTGCAGTACTTGCCATACAAGAGAATATCTATGTTAATCCACCCTGTATATATTTACAATAGTAAAAGTAGATAGAAAAAAACTGACAATCTAATTTCATTTTAGATTTATAAAATAATAAATTTGTTTTCCACTTTAACACAATTTCACATTCTATTCTATTCAAGTCTAATTATTAGTCAATGTGTGGGGTATGTTTAATAACAGAATTACATTCTGCCTTTTTTTTTAATTTTACAAATGAAGACTTCCAATTCGATTAGTATTTAGAATAATTAATTTCTGTTTTGCACTTGTTAATTTCATAATTAAAATTTTGCAATAATTTACTACCCTCTCGGCCACCTCACAAACTATTTCTGAATTTTTTTTTTTTATTTTCATAATATTCCATTGTAATGTGCCCAACCTTCGACAACGGAGTCATACCTATAATTGACTGATTTTTATTTATTTATTTTTCTTTTTTTTTTAACACGATTTCCTACTTGACCTTAATTATTTATTAAAGCGGTGAACTTGGTAACATATGTAAACACCTTAATTAAAATTTGCCGTTTCAGTTGTTACTTAATTTGCGTGCTTTGAATCGACCTATTGATTATGCATGATTACAAAATTTAAATTTAATTGCGGGATGACGCTGTACCTTTGCCATCTACTTATGTAATTCATTACTGTTTTTTTTTTTTCGTTTGTGTTGCTTTTTTTCACGCACGCTACTACACCCAACGTGTGTAAACGAAAAATCGTAATGACCACGTTGCTTGGAATTTACGATCTTATTTTAACGCTTTTCTCTTCGAAATTGTTGTTAGAAATAATTTAAATTGTTCGACGGTTTAAAAATAGAAGTGTGTACAACGTACATTAAAACAATAAATGAACACCTATGTAATATTCGACGATAAAAATAACGTTGTTACCGGTTTAAATGAAGCAAATAATTAGATAGGAAAAAATAAACACAATTATTTTTAAATTTTGACGCCGCCACCCCTCCCCCCTTTTGATATCGCCTTACAACTTTTTACTACAACAATTTTGGCTTTTGTTTCAATTTCCTATCGGTAATACGGGTAATACCTCACCCCTCCATTGAATTATTGATACTAGACAACAGATCTAAATGTGGTAATACACCGTCCACTTTTAACGGCTTAATACAAATATCTGCTTTTGTTTTGATTTCCTTTTATTATATCTGATTGTAGCCCTAACACCTCTCCTCTTTCAATTTTCCATACAAGACTAGCTTTTAAGTTTTTTTGAAATCATTATAACTTTCTAGCTAATATAACAGCATTCTCCCTATACATTCATTGTAAAGCATTGGTCCACATTTTATTGCAAAGCTCACAATTATATTTTTATTCCAGTAATATCATTCGTCCCTTTCATTTTTTATGTGAGATTAGTTTTTAATTGAGTTTTTAAACGCTTTATGACTTTTCCGTTAATAGTAGGCCGCGGTAATACATCAATCTAAATTTTAAATTAGTTTGAATGAGCAACACAAAAAATGGTTTATTACAAGATAAACAAATGCATTTAGTTTAGATAAAAGTTACTTGTGATTCAGGTTTCTATTGGGTGAATAAGTAGTAATTCCTGTTCATTTTCCTTGATCAAAGTACAATTATAATTACTTAGGCCTTTGTATTGTATTTTTTAATTTATCGTTTGCAAAAAACATAAAATACAATAATAATAAATACAGTCATTATTAATTAATGACCTAATATTATATGCGTACCGTATAGGTTAATAGTTAAAAATAATTTTAAAACATTTCGTGATCATTACAGAAAATATGTATTGTTGACTCATAACAGTTATCCTATTCATTTTAAAAAATCGTACTAAATAGGTATATAATATACAATCAGAAGGAACTTACCGTAATAACAGTTTTACAATACGGATAAGCATTCCATGCTTCTTCGTGGATTTCTAAGCTACCTTTAGGGGCTAAATACCTAATAAACGTAGGTACCTTGCTTGCAAGATGATAAATCTTGTAAGTATACTGACCAGAATTGTATTTGCCCCCCAAAAGAGGAACGTTCGTGAAGGGTTCATTTTTAAGCACTTCTATCCCTTCACCACCTCCTGTATTATTCTTTGAAGCTTCAGCGACACTGAAAAGTTGTGCCACTTGATACTAAAACAAAAGGAACAAAAATGATTAGTCAGCTGCTGATTAACGTAGTACTGTACAGTACAAAAACTCACCTCTTCTACTGTAAGGGGTAAAGTAACTCGACTAGAAAAGAGAAATAATAATTAGGTGCGCGATAAATGCATTAATTTTTATTTAAAACTGACATATGCAGTTCCAATGACAGTGGAACACATATTTCAAGGTTGGGTTATTAATTGTAATATAAGTAAAAATTTTGTCTGACGTTTAGTAAAACCGGTTATTTCGAATTAAAACACGATTCGGGTTCATTAAACTGTTATCAGGGTTGTTGGTTCATTTTTTATTTTGAATAAACACGAAATGAAACTGTTTTCTATGCAGCCCTCAGATGCCAATCAATCGTTTAATAACCCACACATGAATTATAGATTGAACGATTATTTTCAGGAAAAATAAGTCTAGGGGTACTTACTATTCCTTAATCAACATGTTTTTCTTTTAAAATTAATTATTTTACACATGCAAATACCTCCGACAGCCTCACAATTGACTGATTCACTCACTGCAAAGTGGGTTGCCTAAGAGCGCATGTCTGATGACGCAGTCATTACGTCAATGTTGAAGTTTTGACAGTTAACAACAGCGCTCCAGTTTTTTTTTTAAATTCCTCGAAGCTCTATAATTCTAATAATAATATTTATTTGTTATTAATCGGCAATCACAATATAAAATTAAACTATTAAGTACAGTATTACCTTTATTTTTAGTATTTGTTTTCAAACTGCAAAACGATAAAAAAAATAGCAATTTAACTGTATAAGTTTTTAAGAGATTATCAAATTACCTAATAAATAAAACCATTAAATATTTATTAATTAATTTCTTCAATGTAACAGATTCAGCACATATAATACAAATATGTTTTTGTTTATAAACGTTTTTCTAATCAATACTATCTAATATGCAACCCAATGTATAAATGTGTGTATGTATTTCTCGTTTCACATTTTTAATAGGAATTTATAACCGATTTTAGGTAAATTTTTTATAATTAAAAAGAATATTTAATTTAAACTTTATTTATTTCTAATAAAACTATTGTTATAAAAGTAAATACTTAAACAAACGAGATTGACATAATGGTTTCTTATACAATTCTAGGTACCTATACATGATTAACTACAAAAACTTCGGTTCTTTTAAAAATAAGATTCTCCCTAAATATATAAAAATGCAGTATGCAATTTTCATTAATAACATAATGAACATTTCTAATTATCAGGCGATTACAATGAAAATTATGCATATTGTGTTATGCAACCTTCAATACAAGGAACATTTGGGGGTTATCTGCTTAATTGCAAATTTGTTACCGAATTTTCCATAATATGATGGTAATGCATTATATTTAAAGTTTTTGATGTACATGGTTTAAAATGCTTAAGATTGATCTTGAACTCATGAAGAACAAAAAAGTTAAAATTACTATTAAAAAACAAAATTTACCTACTAATACGGAACAATGACTTTTTATTAATGTGATTTATTAAAAAGAATATTAACAATCTGGTTATTTTATGATTTGTATATTGGGTATCATTTGGGAACATTAAAAAATGACAGAAGACAGTGGCGTCTACTTAACGTTATTCAGAGGTATTAATTATTAATTTTTTAATGCAAATGTTCCAAATTTAACCATAAAAGTAACTAATTTTCGTAAAAACTAATCGTTCAATCTTATAAATTGTTTTTATGTAATGGTATTACTTACTCTTGACGATAGTATTGTGTAAATTCAAATACAAATTGAAAAACCAAATTAATACGCCTATGTCTTCGGGAAAACCAGCATTGAATGTATGCGTTGTCATACGTATACGCGTCCGTGTGTTGGTAATTGTATTTAACAATTATTGTTGTTATATTGTGTGATTGAAATGTGCGGTTTAAGTAAAGATAATTTAGTAATCTTCACAATTGTATCATCGATTTAAAATTGTAACCTCAATTCGTGTGTAAATAACAACAAAGGATAATGGTTCGTTTATGGGAAAGATTTTACCTCAAAGTGGAAGCCTGAAGATGCATTTTCTGACTCACGTTGGTGTAAATCCGTTTGAGTGCAACTTATGTATAAAACACTTTAAAAAGAACGCAAAGCACCCAGTGGCTCACAATGGTAAAAAACTTCACAAGTGCACAATTTGCGAAAAATCGTTTACTCGGAGCGGAAGTTTGAAAATGCATTTTCTGACTCACAGCGGTGAAAAACCATTTCAGTGTAAACTGTGCCTGAAACGATTTACTAGAAATTGCAGCCTTAAAAAACACTCACTAATACATTCGGGTGAAAAGCCATATAAATGTATCATTTGTGAGAAATGTTTCACACGAAGAGGAGATCTCAACATGCACTTCCTCACACACACCGGCGTAAAGCCATTCCAGTGTAAACTTTGCTTTAAGCGTTTCACGAGGAATTGCAGTCTCAAAAAGCACACACTGGTTCATACGGGCGAAAAGCCTTACAAATGTGATATCTGCGAAAGATGCTTTGCCCGTAGAGGTGATCTCAACATGCACATCCTTACTCACACTGGTGTAAAGCCTTTCCAGTGTAAGCTCTGCTTCAGGCGCTTCACAAGAAATGACAGTCTCAAAAAGCACACATCAGTCCATTCAGGTGAAAAACCCTACAAATGCAGCATCTGTGAAAAATGTTTTACCCGCAGTGGTAGTTTAAAGATACACTTTCTAACACACACAGATGAGAAACCGTTCCAGTGTCGAATGTGCTTTAAACGATTCACGAGAAATTGCAGTCTGAAGAAACACATCAAGACTCACACTGGTGAAAAGACCTCAAAAAATACCATTTGTGAGAAAACGTTTGCTTATGCTAATGCAGACGAAAACTATTTCAGTGTTAGGTTGGCAGAAACGTTCTGCAAGAAACTAGGAGCCTAGATTTGTCCAACAATATCCTGGTTTACAAAGAAAAAAAAAAACAAATGAGGAACAATGGTTTTACGATGCTTAATTATTTGTTTGTAATAATTATCATTATCGAAGCTATAGCACAAGCAGCATAACAGTATATTACATTATACCAATGTGACTGGAACAATAGTACATAGTAATGAAGAAAATGTTTTAAAATTACGAAGTATTTTTAAGATTTTTGTGAATTTCTAATGTTAGAAATAAAGCGCATATTTAAACGTTCAAATGATACACACGAATGCAGTTGAGTGTACCAAAAAAACCTTTTCTCTTATTTCAAGTTAATAGCTGAGTTATCTCAAAATATTCTTATGTAGAAATAGAACTGTAAAATTCGATTAGATATCTAACATAGTCATTAAATTAAGAACTCATTTTTGGGGACTGTTTGTGAGATAATTCAATTATTATTAATCAAAATGAAATAGGGAAAAAAGTTCTTTTTTAACACACCCCTGAAGGAACGAAAATGTCGAGTTATTGTTGTTACAAATAATAATGATTGCTTTAAACTGACAGGTATTTACGTTTTTGTAACACCACTGTCTTTTAGTTTACTATGAGATTATCGCTTAGTGATTATTAATGGACACTTTTCTTATATCCACCTAAAACACGAACATATGAAGCCATACAAAAAAATATGAGTGCAATTAATTACTCTTTTTATTTTATTACGTACTTGTTTTATTTGAATTGATTTACTCAGTATTATTATTAACTTTGTATTACCCCATAATATTTGTCAATATAAACACTTTTTTCTTTTTGTATATATACATAAATCGTAGATGCATATAGTGACAGTGCTTATGTTTATAAAAAATTATTGTCTTTTGATGCTTTCATTAAAAAATATGTGAACTCCTTCAACTGTTTCTTATTAACAGCAAATTAAAACATTAAAACAACAGTAAATCGCATCCCAATAGACTTTTACCCGATTTAGAATACTTCAACATTTTAAAGTGTTTCTATTACCGAATCTATGATTTATAAGTACTACTACTACAAATTAGTATTTTAAAATATGTTCAAAACATGTCTAAATAATTATCTTTCAGGTGCTTGCTCTTACTCTAGTCAAAACATAATTTAAAAATTGTTTTCAAAGTTTTAATCATTTTGGCTACTTCCTAGTGGGCTAGGTGTGAGATATCTGACGGATCTGATGTGACGACGATGTTATAGATACAATATGGCGGATTCCCCAATATGGTGAATTGCTTTTATTTAGTCAACCCCCTTGTCACGTGTAGGCAACCCACTATACCCAAAAGAAGCGTTAAGTGGCCTATACTTGGTTACCTAGGTTGCGCTAGTAATCTCTTTCCAGAATCAGCGCAATCCTTAGATATTATATCTATGACGCAATCACGGAAACCCAGTAAGTATAATAGGCCACCTGACGTTTCTTTGGGTATGGCGGGTTATCTACATGTTACAATACATTAAATTGTGTGACGTCATTATTAATTCATTTTCAAAATACGTATTTTTTAGTTTCAAATTTATCCGATAGGTACATAATCATATTTTATTCAAAAACTGAAAATATTTTCAAAAAATAACGTGCACAAAACTATTTAAACTTAGATATATGTTTACTACTAATAATGATTATTGTTATAATCATTTTATAATGTAGACCTTTTATGATTTATGAATATAATTTTTTTTACGAACAGACAAACATGTATAATAAAAAAACACTTATTGTTTATCTATAACAAAGGTCATATTAATAAAAAAAAAAGGAAATGATACGATTCACAAAGATTATCTCCAGTCGAGGTTTCTATAGAATAAGAGCAAGAAGTATTATCTGTTTGTGTTAATTATCTAATAGAAATTATTAAAAAAATATGCCTAAAAATCACAAAAACCAGGAACGGTTGTTTAACGTATGTCGATTAACAGATGCAATATACAAGGGTGATACTAAGAAATTTAAAAAATACTTGAAAAAACAATTATCTGTAGTAAATCATCGCGATCGAAATGGTTTTACACCCTTGCATGCCGCTGTAAAAATGAATAGGTAAGAAAAACAGATTTTTTTTTAAAATATTTTGTTTGACTCATTATTTTGTCACAAATCAATCCGGATTTATGGTAAAAAAATGTACTAAGTAGTTGACAAAACAATAATAAAAAACAAATAAAATTCTATGTATATATACAGCACAACAGGATCGTATTCAGGGAGATATCGATTTATAATTAATTTTAATCATTAAGATTTTTTTTTAACTATAAAAATAAGATAGTGTTGATATTTCTTCTCTAAAGTTTCGAGCTTCTAGAAATCCTTCTTCAGTTGCCTGATATTAATCCTTGCAAGGTCAACAACGACAATGAAACATGTTTGTTCATGGCACTTGATCGCGTCGCAGACGTAGAAATTGTAGAAAGACTGATCAGGACAGATTTTGATGTCAATACCCGTAACAATAGAAATTGAACTTTGACATTTATCTCTAACCGAAAAACAAAAAAAGTTCAATGTATTTTGCCCGAGTACCTAATTCAATTTAATTAAATCTATGTGCAGTACTTGCCATACAAGAGAATATCTATGTTAATCCACCCTGTATATATTTACAATAGTAAAAGTAGATAGAAAAAAACTGACAATCTAATTTCATTTTAGATTTATAAAATAATAAATTTGTTTTCCACTTTAACACAATTTCACATTCTATTCTATTCAAGTCTAATTATTAGTCAATGTGTGGGGTATGTTTAATAACAGAATTACATTCTGCCTTTTTTTTTAATTTTACAAATGAAGACTTCCAATTCGATTAGTATTTAGAATAATTAATTTCTGTTTTGCACNTTTATATGACATACTTGAATGCGAAGTTGCCAGCGAACTTGTGGTCGACAATTTTCATAATAACGTTTTCTCATTGTTACAAGCTTTCGATCTAAGAACTATCGAAAGGAGTGTACGAGTAGAAATTATTTGTTTATTCTTATCGCTCGGGTTGCCAGTGCAGCTGGAAGACGTATTAAAATTTTATAATGAGTTTGGGCATGACGAAGAGTTTGAAGCTTTCGTGTACATGGACGTGCAACCTTCTTCGGTACCATTGTGGGGCTATTCGAGCCTTCCGGGGTTGTTTGCCTTATATTTTGGAGCAGACGTTGACGAACACTTGAAATGTTTAATAACACGGGATTGCTTCGGTAATTTTTTCGAAATTCGGGTTTATCTTAAGGGTATTTTAAAAATCGTCAATTTTTGTACAATAAGGAAAACCTTAAGAGACGAATATTTTATCAGAAACGTGGTGACAAATTATTGTAATGATAATTCTGATCGTACTGACGAATTAGTTGCATTACATAACGAAATTATTGACTGTTTTAATAACATGGATGAAGTGCCATCGTTGTTAGAATTGTGTAGGAATCGGGTCCGATATTTTATTTATGAGAACGCGTTCTTAAAGAAACCATGTTATTATAATACACTTCTGAATGGATTAAAATTGCCTGATTCGATAAAAGATATCATTAAATTTAAAAGAACTTTATATAGAAGAAGGTCTGACGTACTTTTGTAATAATATTACACTTATAATTATGTCGAAAACATTAAATTATAATGCTAAAATTCTTTCTTTTGTAAATTCAATAAAAATGATCATTTTCTTTATGTGATTTCAAAATAACTTTCTTCTGTTAATAAACTCTTTTTTTGTATTTTAAGTACTTACAGGATACCGGGTTGAATGATATTGCTTACAGTATAAGTAGGTACAATAAATTATACGATTTGCCTGATTTATTTTATATGAGCGACCGAGTTCCACTATACAAACCATACAACAAGAAAAAACTAAAAAAGGACTGTGCACGTTGCAGGATTAGAACTCGGGCAACCTGACGTGGTAAACTTGCACGCTAGCCATTAGACCATTTTGAAAAGAGGATTCTAGTGATATCACATTACGCAGACAATTTAAGTTTATTGCTTTATACTTGAAAACACGGAGAAAACGAATTTTCTCATAAATGAAAAATTAAAAACATCGATGATGTATTGAGTAAAATCATTGGTCTCCTCCCAAATGAAAATAAAATGACACCTTTGATGATTTGATTAAATTTGTGCCCCAAAAATTGGCCTTAATATTGTTACGATGCATTAACTCTAGAAAACGTGATGAAATTAAAACAAAATTAATTTTTAAAGAACTTACGATTTATTATAACGCATAAATTAGTTAATTAACAGTTAATTTTACAGAAATATGTAATATTTGTTTGTAAAATAATGCTTGATTCAGGCGTTTTTTGTCGTTGTTTCCGTAGTTGTTCTGTCTTGGGGTAGAAACCAAGACACTATGGAACTCAAAGCGCCTAAAGGACCGCCACTGTTGTCGACCTCATTGGTTTCGTCAATTAGCAGTTCTCCACCGTCAGTTCTATCAATCTTTTTGCACGTGTACATTGTTTTAACCTTTTCTATGTCACTTTTGCTGAAGCCTTCGCGTTGACCAATATTTGAACCTTTGACCTAATTATTTGTTAAATTTTAGAAAAGACATTTCAAATTATAATTCGAAAAGAAAATCTATGAACGAGTCACACCGACGTTTATGGCAAATAATAAATATGTGTATAAATAATGAAAAAAACGACGTATTTCACTGGCTAGAATTTGTGACACATTGTATATCTATTTTATAATGAATCAAATTAATATTTCTGATTAATGGTTGGAATTGCAGTCTGAATAAAACGGCGTATTTCATGACTAGAATGTGTGACACACTGTACATGTATTTTATAATGAGCAAAATTATTATTTCTAATGAATAACCATAATTAAGTTAAAAATATTTTATAAATGATACAAACCAACGGTATTATTGTATCCAGGCCATTTTTCGAAAACGCTTTTCGAGAATAATGCATGACCGAATTATAATCGTAAGGAATTCCATACCCGAATGCCAATTGCTTATCCATTTTCACGAAATTATTCCATCTTGCTAAAACAAAAATTAAATATGTATATAGTTGAATAGATAAATAAATAAAACACTTGGTTTTAGTTTTATCATCCGTCTGTAACACCACATCTCACTCGTACGTTCGGTGGGGCACCCGGTATATACGTATGTTAGTGCCGGTGCACACTTGCGACAGTTTGCCGCCGCGGGTCCGCAGCGGCACTACAAAGTTTGTTGCACACTTGTTGGTATTTTTGCGGTTTTGTTGCGGCGCCGCAAAAGTAATAAAAATATATATCTAATACAGTGTCATTCGTTTTTAAAGAAAATCAGTCAGTGCGACAAGTTGAATAGTGCAAAATGGAAGTTTTTATTAATGAAAGGCGTGCAGTTTTTACGTATTTGGTGTACAAATGCGTTATTGATCGAAAAAAAAAAACGAGACGATTTTGGGTAGACCCATATACCGATTTACGGCTTACGAGGGGCACATTTGTAACGTCGTTTTCGTATTTAAGGGAGAATCCTGACTAATTTTTCAACTACTTTCGAAGGAGTGTTGCTTCATCTGATGAATTAACAGCAAAAGTTTCTGATAGGATAAGATCGCAAAAGATACCAGATTAAGAGTCTCCATAATCCCACTAGAAATGTTTTCTCCTTGTCATCCAGCTCCAAAAATCCATCGGAAAACATTTCACAGATTATAATCCATGCAGACCTGTTTTTGACTCTTTCATGGTATAGGTATATTTCTGAGGAAATATCCCATATCTCTGGGAACCAACCCCTTTACTGCATCAATGAATAATTCTATATCCAAATCTTCAGAAGTTCTAGTAGCAGCCATCCTTTTTTGCGTCAATTTGCCGCAAGTGTGTACCAGCCGATATACAAACGAGTACTACAAAACCGCAATAGCGGCAGCGGTGCCGCCACGGTTCCGTAGGGACCTGCGGTTCAAAACGGTCGCCATTTGGACGCGCGGCCCCGCGGCGGCGCGCAGATGAATGTGCATTAACCCATTTACCTGTTAGTAATTTAAGCCGCAATTGCGGTGCCGCAGCGGCGATTGCCGCAAGTGTGCACCGGCGCTTAATATCAATATTTTTAAGAAAGTGTTTACAATTAGTAGTATAACTTAATTACTTCCCACTACATACTACCTAAAGTTAATAAGGAAAAAATTTGTTTCTGCTGTCACTCCCTCACCGGGAATCGAACCCAGGCCTCTAGATTAACACACCAGTAATCTACCACTAAGCTATGAAAGCCGGTGGCCCGGGTTCGATTCCCGGTAAGAGTGTGACGGCAGCAACAATTCTTTTATCATTAATTTTACGTAATCAATATAGTGGGGAGAAATTAAGTTGATTTGACATTAATGTCTGATAATTATTAAATGTATATATGTATGTATTAATATAAAAAAATCTTACATTCTTCAATATTATTCCATTTTATGTCTACGTATGAGTCTCTTTCCCATCGGTTCTGTTCGTGTTGAAATCCTACGGCATGTAAAAGCTCGTGAATTACAGTCCCAATTTTTATCAGACACCCTGGACTCTGTAAATTTACGGTCTGTCTACCTCCCACTCTCCCTACACTCGACCAGCATCCAGATCTTCCGTTGTCGATCGAAATGTAGTCGATATCAGACGAATTTCGATACCGAAATCTAAATTAAAACAGGTAAATAGGTACAATGTGTCTCCCCACAGTTAAAATAATTGCTACACTTTTATTTAAAAACTGTAGGATGAAAAACCGGGTTTAAGTGCCATTTTTACCAATATTAGGGCTTAAGAAGACACGGTCTTCAAGAAAAAAATTTTCGCCAATACAAATTGATTTTCTATAGGGTTTAACTGCGAATTAACAAATACCAAAATATGCTGCCGGATAAAACCGCGATATTGTAATGTATAAAAGGGGTATTCCCCCGGACTTAGGTATATTGACGGGCCCTGAAAATTCAGAACTCTACTTTGCAGTCTCGAGCCCAAATTTTCACTCGTTGGTTCTGACTTGTGCTTGCAAGTATTAATAAATACCTTACCGTATACAAGTGTATTTGTGGTACATGTTCATGGCAGAAATTATAAATTGCCTCTCTTGTTTAGTAAACGATCCCCTTATTTCGAATGGAATGACACCATCGGGCCACCTATAGGTCGCTGCCATTAAACCATTTTTTGTTTTTGTATCCGGAAATAGAATGTCACCCTCTGCGTATTCGCCCAGTTCTTCCGGGTTGATTCCGGTTTTGGCATCCCAATTCTCAACTTTTTCGCCGGTTTTCTCGCTGGGCTTGCCGAACACCGACGAGCCCAAATAAGACAAATCATTGCCACTGCTGTAGTCCGGCTCTGTCTCACTCGTCGGAAAACAAAAAACTGATGAGTAACGAGCAACAATTAGAATAAAAAAATAACGCAGTGACATACTGGAAAAGTTAAGTGACCGGGCAGGTACTCGAAATAAACAAAAAAGTATCGACAGACCCTTTTATTTATATGCTCACTAATTAAAATTAGTATATCATCTTATTTTCGGTTTAGTATGCACCCAAAAATTAATTTTATCTTGAGATAAATTGGGGCACACAGTCTCTTATAATCGCAATAACACTCTAACGCATTTTCACGCATAAACAAATAACAAACAAACAATAAATTAAACGTTAGTTGAATGTATTTATTTGGATAGGTAGTAACTTTATCTGTCTGCATGTGTAAATTTGCATTTCTATGTTCCGTTTCCGGTGACGATGAACCAGTTGCAGTAAAGTAATTATAAGGCAACTATATCAACCTGAAATACAAACATTTAAACTGCATTATTATTAAAATTACTTGATAATAAGTGAGGAACAAGTAATTAAACGTGTTTGTCTATTTTTATCGGATTTTTTTCATTATGCACCATAAAAGGTTTTTTGTTCGTACCTAAAAGAGTAGCATTTACTGAAAAGATGTTAAAAAAGTACTTTAGTTACTGTTTATATGGGAAAGACTTGTTTTCTTATAAAGAAAAGTTATCTAAAAAAGATACAAGGTTTTAAGACCAATAGGGACAAAACATTTTTTTTGTTAAATCTATAAATATCAGAGATATCGCTCTACTTTTCCTGTAATTTCTAAGAAGATTTGTTTTCTCTATCTTTTCACTTAATTTGCCCGCGTAGTTGATAATCTTGTCACAAAGGTCATTTTCTAAATGGCCCACTGGCTAGAGCGTAGATCTACCATGTCGAGATGCGCGAGTTCGAATCCAACAGTGTGTAGATTTTTTTAGAGTTTTTTTTGGTATGTATAAAGGAAATTTTAAGATGAGAACTAAAATAGATGTTTTACATCTGTCCTGAACTGAACTCGGTCTATATTTAGTTAAAAACAAAACAGACGTTTCAACAAGAAAATCCGTAATAATCAAATACACGACATAGACACCCTGTATAGTATGATATAATGAAAAGAAAAACACGAAATACTGTGTTTATATTTTTTTATTCAAGGCATTAAAAACGTAACAATGCTGCAAGTTGTTAAATAATAATACAATTTATTTAACTATTTTATTAGCTCAAAATGACAAAAGCAACAAGACTATTTTGTATAATTACTTGTATAGTAATTGAAGCTGAAATAATTAATTATTGGTTACTTAATATCCTAATGAAATCATTAGATGATGATAATAATAAGAGAGAAAATTAACAAAAATTCTAATTGAATGTAGGTAATTAAGTAGGTATGTATCGCAATAAAAATAAATTACTTACATCTTACAAGTAAAAAGGTGTTATTGTAATTCTACAGCTATCGGAATACTGTTATCAAATACCAAGTCATTTTTAGCAGGATAAATTACTTTTAAATTACCTTCATCGTCTACTATTTTAACTTGTTCTATTTTTAGATCATGATCGAATAAAAGAACCATTTCTTTTATTAAATTATCCATTACTCTCTTACATATCGGCTGAGAAACGTTGCTCGTTACTTCTAACAATAAGTCCTTTGTGTCAAGGGTCATCTAAAAGTCGAAAACAATTTAATTAACGATTTACTACAATACTGTAGTTCTTAGGCTTTCACGGCCGGCGTCTATCAATAAATATAAGTACACATAAATAATGTCAAGACTATGTATAAATAAAACACTATAATTTGTGAACTCTTCAACAGATACACCAACTCAAGAACTAGTTTCGCCAATTTATGGTTTCTTCAGAACATAAATTAGTTGTGTGATTGTAGAAAAATTCGTGTGCCTTCTAAAGAAACCACAAAGTGATGAAATGATCGTTAAGAGAAGATTAAAAGATTGTGGAAGTTTTATTAGTTAAATAGGATATTAATTAAACTTCCACAATTTTTTTTATTCTCTTGACAATCGTTTCGCCATATTGTCGCTTCTTCAGAAGATACATTTGTTCTTGAGTGTACAATTCGTGTACCTTCTGAAAAGCCAAACGATTATCAAGAGAATAAAAGATTATGTAGAAGTTTTATTAGTTAAATTAAAAAACTAATCAAACTTCTGTAAGTTTTTACTCTATTTAATCTTTCGCCACTTTGTCGCTTCTTCAGACCCAAGACCTTCATTTTTGAACATAACATACAATTATAATAAATTAATAATGCCAATGAAAAAATTTATAGTATTCAAGGAGTTTTTTTATTACCTTCGATATATCACTGTTTGTAATTGGTGGAAAAGATATCACTTCGCCGGTCGCATTTAAGAAGCACGGATATTTTTTGCGCCCCTCGAGAAGGTACAAGAATTTGTGAATTCCTGAATACGTATTCCTCTTCTTTTCTTTTCTTAAAGCGTCTGCCTCTGCCTGTAGCTTTGAAAACAATTCCTTTCCAGTCATTATCACAGTTCTATTTAGGGGTTTTATTTGTAATTCTTCTGGTGTTTTTACGGTGTATTTTAAACTGCCAGGGGGCTGAAAAAAAATAAAATTAGTTCCAAAAAATATTATCTAATCTAAATAGTATAACATACCAATTTTTTTAAGTCGTGTGTAGCAATGGTTGCTGAATTTCTTTTATCACATACTGAATCGTGCAGTTTGGTTTGTAACTGGATGAATTTTCTGAATAAATCTTCGGTAAATTCAATGTTGCGTACAATACATGCAATTATGTGTGCTCTAATTTCTTTAACTTCTGGATCAATTATAATTTTAAGGCAGTCATCTGTGCATCTCTCTACATGCACTTTATATTTGATTTCTTTGCTTATTTCTTCTTTAGTATCACTCGATTCACTGTCCTTTTTGTTCTTAGTGTTTTTTTTACTCTTCTTGCCAACTTTACCATTACTAATTTCTGTTTTAGATCTAGGACAATGCTGCCTTATATAATCTATAATTTGTTTAAAATGGCATTGGTTTACCATCTTTAGTAATCGTTTGTCACTGATTGGATTATCTTTCAAATCAAGTTCTAAAAGAAAAACAATTTTATAATGATCCCTTCATTTCATATTAATTCTTGTTAAACCTTTACCTTTCAATTTACTGCAGTCTGCAAGCTCGCCAGGTATTATCTTCACTTTGTTTGCATTAATTTTCAGGACTTTAAGTGAAGCCAAAACAAAAATGTTAGATGAAATACTTTCAATTTCATTACCACTAACATTAATCTCAGAAAGGTGCACATTTTCTGGATAGCAAACGTCCAAAAAATCTATCAGGTTGTTGTTAGCAGCATTTATTGTGCTTAGTTTGGGATTATTAGAAAACTTAGGAAACTTCTCTAATTTGTTAAATGACACGTTCAAAGAAACCAGTTCTTTCAAGTCTGACAAGTTTTCTGGAATACTTTTGAGTTGATTTTGAGACAAATCGAGCACTTTTAGTTTGCTTAGTTCTGTTATTTCTGAGGTGATCTCTGTTAATTTATTCGAATGTAAAACGAGGGTTTGTAAATTTGACAAACAACTAATGTTACTAGAAACCTTATCCAAGCATGTGTCCGTTAAACTCAAATAATTTAAGCCGATCAAAGCAAATAATTCGTTATCTACGCCGTCCTTTTGAATTCTTGCACTTATTGTTGAACCTGACAGCACAATTTCGTGTCTTTTTTCCGCTTTAGCAAGTGAAACTTCTGGCCAAGACATTTTAAAAATATTAAATAGTATACAATCAATTAAAAAAACTTAACGAATTTAACCTAAGAACCGCCAGCAAATATTTTTATATTTTGGAGGTTATGATCATAGAATGATTAAAGACATATCATAGACAATTATGATCATAGACAGTTATTATCATAGATAGTTATGATCATATTCAATTCAAAGTCATTTAGCATGGGCGCCATTTTCAAATAATTGCATTATAATTCAAATTTCTATTAGAATATTTTATTACTGTTCATTATATTTTCAACACTCTGTATACACTATTAGTTCGATGCACTTTTACTCTGTACAGTTATTTTTACCGAAAAAATTAAGGTATAAAAAGAAAAATTTGAATATCTGGAACTTATCAGATAATAAATGCCTTTCAGAATAAATATAAATTAATGTATCTCTGTATTGTAAATTAAACATTATTTTAATCGTAATGATTATACCTGGTGATGTACATAGGTATAAAAATATAAAACTGCACATAATATTAAAATGAATGTTACTTTGATATGTAAGGAAATGTACGGAAAACTTTGTATGATTGTCTTGAGCTTATGCTTGGCAGGTTAGTTTTTATTTTTTTAACTATAAACCATTTTCATTTTTTAAAAATTTGGTGGATATTTTTATAAAGTAAAAAATTTAATTCTTTTTTTTATTTCATGTATGAAGTAATTTTCAGTAATAATAATTATTATTGATTTGTAACATGCATTCATTCTTTACTGTACAGAGTCCGTTTGAAAAATAATGAACAATTAACATTAAATTACTTTTTATTTATTCTAAAAAGTTGGAGGACAAAATGAACCAAATGGTCCAATATCAGCTATTCAGCAGTGGCTATCACAATCTTCTTCGCGAGCTAACATGGTCATGGGTACTTACCAGGCCTTGGTCATGCCCATGCCCAATGGACAAGATATAGCAAATGGTATTCAAAATGGCGTTAATGCAGCTCAGTCAATGGTACAAGGCGTTAGACAGTTTTTTCAGAATTTACAGTCAAATGATAATAAAAAACAACAATAACAACCATTTTAACTAATTAGTAGAATAAAAACTTTACTGTTAATTAATGTTTTTCTTTAGTGGTTCTTAATCGTTTTTGAACGCTTCTCGTATGTCGTGTACTAATTAAGAAATGCTTAAAAGTATGTCCCAATTAAAAGTTTTTGCTTACGTTTTTATTTAGTGGGAAATGCTTTTTGTATACTCATCAACCAAATCAAAACAAAATAAATAGTTTGTAATGTCCGCAATTAATTAATATAGGTCTCTATTTCCGTTAAGGTTTAGTGCTGTGCCAGATAAAGTAAAAAAAGTTCGAATTAAAAATGAAAAGATTTTTTGTGATTTTATATTTTTCGCTATTCTTATTGGTAAGTACAGAGACGGATTATTACTTATCTAGAAAATTTTATATAACAATTTTTAATTAATTAAATTATAACTAACAAAAGAATAAATAAGCCGATACGTATTTACTTTTTATCTAGATTTGCTATGCTGCCAGAACGAACATGGGTGAATATGAAGTTTCTGTAGAAATGGAAAATTCTCGAAAATCTGCTAATAATAACCAAAATTTGACTGGTACCATAAATAAAATAATTAAGACATATAATGAAAATGACAATGAAAATAGTGATATTGATAATACAAACAAGAGATTCGATAAAATCATAAACCTAGTAAATTTGTTAGGGCAAGTTGATGCATATCTATCAGAAAAAACGAAAACGATGATAAAAAAACTTGCAACATTAGCAGAAGATGACGATGAAAGCGGTTTTAAAAAATAATTAAGACTAATTATGTTCTACTTTTGTAAAATAGTAATTGTTAATGCAATTTTTAAGTATTTTGTACTTTTCTATTTATTTATTTACTAATAATAATAAACATTTGTTAATTATGTGTCTTTATATATTTTTTTGTATTTCATAAAGTTTAAGTAAGTTTTCATGAACGGCTAAATGGTTAAGTTTAAAGAAAACCAGAAACCGTTGTTTGATTATGTTTAGTTAACCTGTACGCTGACAACTGTCAGTTTTTAAAAGTTTAAATGTTTAAAAATGTTACTAATTTGTTATAGAGTTCTAAGTGAAAGTAAAATTAAACTTAAAAGTGAAGCTAATGTAATTGGTATATAAAAAATTAATTTATTGAACTGCTTTTTAATGTAAATGTAAGTAAATTATATGTGAGAAAGATGTCTTTCTCTCCTGCCAGTATTTTAGCTCGTTTGGACGAGTTAAAAAGATGGCAAGAGAAACAACAAGAAAAACTTATGCAGCAGCACCAAAATCGTCTGAAGGAAAACGAGAAAAATACCGTTTCCTCATTAAATGAAATAATTAGTGGGACTGTATCGCGAGTTGATTCCGACAAAAGAGTTCTGTCCAAAAAAGTAACTTTTTGGCAGGAGTCTCCAGATGCAAAAGTTAAATCGTTTAAGGCGGAACTGGAAGACCGATTAGCATCTGAACCACAAAATAATAATGAAGAAAAACCTAAAAATATTGTTAAGAAACCTTTTTTAAAACGAGGTCAGGGTTTGGCACGTTATAAAATGAACGTAGGAGACATTGTTAAGAAAAAAACCAAACCTGTACAAAATACTAAGCCAGCATTAAACAAAGACGATTTGTCCAATTGTAAAAGTGCAGAAAATGAAAATGAACAAATCAAAATAACCCCTTTAAAGAAACCTAATGTTAATTTTGAACCAAAAGCAAAGTGGTTGAATGTAGAAAATCAGGAGTTACCACCCAGTGAAATTAATCTTGGTGATGATAATATTCCAATAAGAAAGGCTTCGTTCAAGCAAACGTTTGATAAAGCGGGAGGAAAAATTAAAAGTGAAAATAGTGTTTTGGTAGCACGTCAGAATATAATTGAACAAATAAACAGGTTTGCCCTCCAGAAAGAGAATAACGATAAAAAGAATCCTGCAAAAGATGAACCTAAATTTGATGGTGACCTGACATTGTACGAAAAGGCTTTAGAAAAAGAGAGCTTAAGGGTCTTTGAAGCCTTAGAACAGAAAGCAATGAATAGCAGTTTCTCATCCACAAATTCTAGTGTGGTACAACTCCTTTCAAGTACACCTTCTAAGGATGGAAAGCGCAGAAACGTAAGCATACAATTGGACCAACGTTTTGAAGTTCATCATTGTGCAAATGATGAAACCGATGAAGGTGCAGATTTAATTTCTTTCGAAGAAGACAATGTTGAAATAATAAGAGGAAATAGAAGAGAAAATGTAAAAGTAGAACACGAACAGTCAGTTTTGTCTGACCACAACGAAACTTCTATCAAATCTTCCGATTTGAGAAGCCTTTTGGAAAGGTTCATTCCTAAAATGCAAGAAAATAACCCTTCCCTTTTTAGAGACTTGGGTCCCGCCGGGAAAAATGATAAAATGGATAACTGTAAGAAATATTTCGAAGACAATCTATTCAAAGATTTTCCTTCAGATAGTTCAATCGTGACAGATAACAATGATGACGAAGATACCCTCAAAAGTGGCACAGAAATTGATGAGGATGTGCAGCCTTTAGATTGTAACGATAGAGAAAAGTGGTCCGACAACGAGTATGATGGAAATGGTAATATGCCCACTAACATATGTGAGCAATGCCTTAAGAAAAGTCAAAAGAGTTATTCAGATGTTGCTTTAATGACAGACGAATTCGAACAAAAAGCAGATACCCAAAAAGAACGTGAAAGTTTGGAGAAAGACTTGGTAAAAAAACTGCGAGACTTGGACGAAGAAATTGCAAAGTTTAGACAAGAAAACGTCAAAATTGCCAAGATTAAAAAGGAAATTGAATTGGAACGATTAGACTTTCAAAAGGAGCACAGGGAACAACGCAAAATATTAGAAGAAGAAAGAGAAAAAATTAATCAGCATTTAGATGACGAGAAAAAAAAATTGGCAAAGGAAAAGATGGTTTTTGAAAGGTGAGAAACTTTAGTTTTAATTAAAAAAAAGTATACAAGATGATTCATATTAAACAGCATAATAAAAAAACCTGTTGGGGGAGGATGGGTGTTGCCATTACTTATTTTAAGTATTATTAAGTACTAAAAATTCGAAATAACTTATTTAACTTTTATTCCCAATAAATGCGCTTTTAATACATTCACTTAAAGCCAATAAAATGCTAATAAATACAAATATCACTTTAAATTTGCCATCTAATTAAGTAAACATTTAATTTAAAATACTGCTTCTTTATTAATGGAATTTGATTAAATTAATGAAATCAGNAAAACAATGGCACGAACGGCTTATATTTTTAAATTTTTCTTAAAATGTACAGTCTGATTAGTACTTTATTATTTTTGATAAGATTCATATTATTATCGCAAGTATTAAAACAAAACAATTTCATTTCAGCCTTGAATAAGATACGATTTTGTGTTTCTAAGGGTCACTAAAAAGCACCGTACTCTACAGAACGTTGACATTTTAAGCAATTGCAAATGTTTTATATATTGTATTTGCATTTGTGATATTGACACCCAAGTTTTCGTGCATTTAGTGCAGTCTTTGTAATTGTTTAGTAGCAAAACACAGGGTGATAAATTTTCGTTCGAAAGAGACATTCTTTAGACTTAACTCTAACGTTTAATCAAACACACTATATGTCGATTTTTATGTTATTTATGTATTCCTTTGCACAGATTTTACAAAAATAAAGTCCCTGTGTCCGCTCTGAAAACAAACCGTGCGTTCATATTACAATATATTCACAGTGTTCTATGTTTAATATAAATGAAAGAAAATGTGAATACAAAATGTTTTGTAACACTCTGTATTAAATTTAAGGGAGTTCATGTAAACTGTGTTCGGTATAAACTGAATCTATTCTTTCAAAAACTGTGTTAAGAACAACTAATACTTTAGGAACTGTTTGCATCACATTTTCAATGTCTTTGGGATCGTCACTGATAATCTTCTTGAGTAACTGTTCTCTGGTAGGCATGGCACCCATTGCCATCTTGGCCCCATTCCTTATCAGAAATGTATGATGTTCTGCCAACGTTTCTTCGTAAGCCTTCCTACAAACCGTGGCAGTTCCCTCCTTGTCATCTATCCCACTTACTCCTTGTAAAAACTCCTTGATGAAGTTAAGACCTCGGTGTAATCTTAATAGTGTCCTGCTCCCTGACGTATAACCCTTTTTTGTTAACAATTCGTTATTCTTCTCGTGTTCAATCATCCTTTTAACTGTCCTAAATTGCTCAGGACTTTCGGACATTAATTCGTTCATAATTTCCATTTTGGAGACCAAATCTTTACTCACAAATGTGAAAATGGTGCCCATAAGAGTGAAAAACTTGTACAGTTCTTCGTAGCCTTCTATGTAGGCTTTCAATTCGGTATCTTCTTCATCAGTTAGAGATGACTCGAACTTTGCCAAGACGATCTCGAAGTCCAGTTTGCTGGAATTGTTGTTGGTGGACATCTCTGGTTCGAAACTGAGCACCTAATGTCTAATAATAAAATAATTTTTGTGTAAAATATATGATTAGATAATTTCGATCAAGTTTTTCAAATGAAATCGATCAATTTATGATTTTCTTACTTAACAGTTGTCTCTCATCCTTTATTGATAATAAGAAGCTTCTAATCATTTATTTCAATATTAAAAGTAACTGATGTTTATATCTTATCTATATCAAATTGATTGTAAGGTAGTGTCATTTTATTTCTTCTTTAAGTAGGAGTTTTCAAAAATATTATTTTTTTATAGATAGGGCAGGCAAAACTTTACTAAATTTGAATTTTTAAACTTCCTGTACATTTTTATGGGAATTTAGTATTTTCTTATGCAACCACGTACACACAAGTGCATTGTGTGTGATCGAACTCCCTCAAACTTTTGAAAATAAATCGTCTAGTCTTAAATAAATGTGTCACACAAGAACACACACTTAACCAGAGGCATAGTCACAGAAGGGGGGTGTTTCAAACACAGGTTTGAAACTTCCCCACATTGACACGTAGCATTCTAATGTATGCGCACATTTTAGAGTGTAAAAATACAAAATATATGATTATAAAAAATAACACATCAAATTAATGTACTGCTTTATTATGCAATTATAGATATGTTAAGGACTCTCAAAATAAGCCTTCAAAAAAAGAAAGGGAAGAGATAACAATTTTAAAAGGGGAAGTGGCAAATCTAAAGGAAACCCTCAAACTAAAAGAGATCAAAAACAGCACGACACAAGCACGTCTTCGCAATCAAATTAAGCGATTAGAAAAGGATAATTCGGAATTTAAAGAACAAATAGAAAGCTTACAAAAGCAAAATGCCAAAATGCAGGCTGCACAGAAAATATGCAGACCCTCAGATACAAAGATGCTGCATGAAATAAACAAAAACATAACAAGATTGACGCTCAATTCGAAAAAAAACAAAAGGCCTTCGAAATCTTTCAGTGAGGATAGTGATAATGACTCATCCGAACAAGAAGCTGCAAATTATTTAAAAAATAAAGACAACAAAATTAAAAAACGCACAAAATCATTAAGTGAACTTGAAGTTTGCAATAAAGTGAACAAGAACAAAAAAAACATGAAACAGGACCTGTCTTTAAGAGGGTCCACAAATGGTAAAAAGAGACACAGCAAAAAAACACCAGCAGCAGCAACTTACACCGATTCTGAAGAAGAAGATAACAGCAGTGGCGATTCGATGATGAATGATTTATTTTCGGATGAAAAGAACGTACGATTAATTAAAAAGAATAACGAATACAAATACCTAAGACCAAATGATAGTGATTCCTTTAAACATAAAGACGCATTTAATGCTTCGGGAGATACCAATAAAGAAAACGATGTTAACATTTCAAACTTAAAAGCACAGAAGAAGTATCATGATCCTGATGAGTTTGAGGACATTGAGAAACGATATGAAAAATTATTTGGTACAAGCAGTCATGAAACAACTATAAAACCCACAAATAATGTATTAGATGACAGTAAGGATAAGAAAGGTATGATATTAAAATAGATACAATTTTATGATTTTTCGTCTATCAAACTACTGCTGCAATTGCAATGTTCTTTGCTTTTATTTCCAAGCAATTCATGCATCATTGATAACAGCTGTTAGCTACTTACAAGTTTCTGCAGAACACACATATGCTAATTAATAATTTATTTAATAATTTTATTATTTATTAAGTTTCTTTTACATCCTTCAGCAATTATTATTTAAAAATTATGTAGAAATATTAAGAGAATATTTAGCTATTAATTAAAACAAATAAGTACTTACTTATAAAATTATCAGTACTTTATTATTNTTCTTATTTATTAATTAACAAAAATATTTTACGGTTGATTGATAGAACCTGACAATTAAAGGTTATGTTTATCGACTGACTTATGTAGATATCTAACATGTTTATCGACCTTGGAAGACAACAATGCAATTTGTTTGATCATAGATCAAACAACCATAGATGTAAGATTGCTGTGGCTCAGTTGTTTCCATTTGATTGTAATAACTATTATTTCTTTTACTACTATAGTTTTGTCCTTTGGGTTGGGTTAGGTTTAGTCTACATTTGCAAATGTCATTGTTTTAATAATATGATACTAATTTTAACTGATATTTCAGACCGAATAGAACGCGTTTTAAGCGACGGTTCAAAAGAAATAAAATACCCGAATGGTAATACAAAAACTGTGTCGAAAGAGGGCAATTTAGTTGTGGTCAATTATTATAATGGTGATGTGAAAGAAACTAATTTGCTAGTAGGTACAGTGAGATATTATTATAAGGAAAATAGAATTTGGCATACCACTTTCCCTGATGGATCAGAACTGTTGGAATTTCCAAAGTAAGAATTTTTAAAAACTTTATAAACAACACTAAATGTTAATTTTTATAAAAAATGCATTAATACACCATTTATTTTGCTGTACTAAGGCTTCATCAGAAGTACAGCATTAAACTTAAGGAGGAGGGCTTAACAAGAGGTGTAGTAAGGGCGAATTATGTTGATTATTTGTTTATTAAACTTGACTATCTTTCAAATTTAAAACGAAATTTCTTGTGTACAACTTTATTAACAAGCTGTTACTAAGAACCATTCAGAATTTTCTATTATATGTAAATGCATCAGACTCGTTTGAGAATGAAGCTGTCTAACGCAGTAACAGACGAAACGTTGCAATAATAGTAGTCATTAAATACATGTGAAGGCCCAAATAGTAGACTGTTTAGATAATGTAATTGTTAATTTTAGTGGACAAACTGAGAAAAAATTCAAAGACGGTTCTCACGAAGTAAAATATGTTGACGGTACAATTAGGAACGTTGGTACTTCTGGGACGGAAAAAATTACCTATGTGGATGGTACCGTGGTCACAATGAATAAACAGGGCGATAAAATTTTAGAATTGCCCAGTGGCGAAAAAGAAATTCACACTCAACAGCAGAAGGTATTGTTTTTTTTTTAACGAGATTTTTTGCGTTGCTTCATATTATGTTTTGGTATTTAGAGGAGAGAGTATCCGGACGGTACGGTTAAAACGGTTTACGCTGACGGTACGCAGGAAACGAAATATTCAAATGGCAGAATACGAATAAAAGACAAACACGGGAATCTCGTCATGGACTCGGAACGCGTTGGTAAAAGTAAGTGATAAGCGAAAACGTACTCTATATATGCATATAAGATAATATGATACAGTCGGGTGTATTTTTTAATTATTTTTATAAAGTTTTTTACATTGACTTTTTTTTATAGTAAACAGAATTTGGTTTTTTAAAAAAATTGAAATTGAAAATAAACACTTTAAACCAGTATAAAAAGCAGAAGCATTATAGGTGCCTCCTAATTGTTTATTAGGAAACAAAAATATACTAACATTCATAAAAAAGTAACAATTTCAAATAGGCATAAATATTATTTACTACTGAAGGGCTTGTTTTTTATTAAAATTCTGAAGTTTAATTTTTTGTATTGCATCCAAAGCTGCAGTATCTTTGGCATTTTCTATTGTCTCACCATATCCTAAAAGATTTAATGAGAAGAAAAGTAAAATTGCTTATAGGTCCTACAACTTACCCAAACCAATAAGCTTCTTATTTGAGTACAATCCCACTTGATAATTAGCTAGAATTGTATTTGTAGCTGATTCATTACACAGTCTTGGCTCTACATCTTTGTATCCTAATTCTTTAGCAATACCAATGAAGTATTCATAGGGTTTCTCGGGTTCCCAGATGTCAAATATGTCTTTATCAGATAATTGAGTTAACAAAAAGTCTTTTAAAAACAGCTCTGCTCTCTCTAAACCACTGCTTTCATTGAGAGCACCTATGACAGCCTCAAATGTTCTTGCTAAAGTTGAATTTTCCACTGGGAAATCCTAGAAATTAATAATTTCATTGCTTGTTATCAAACCTTTAAGTTTTGAAATAAGAAGTGTTAACAAATATAGCTCGCATTTAATTAACTTTATTAAGAAGCTTACCTCACTCAAAATTAAATCGGTAAGTCCTAAATGTTTTGCTACATGTGACAGCATATCATCAGCAGTTAAATATTTATGAAGAGCCTCTGCAGGTTCTTCAGGATATTGATTTTGCAAAGCTTTGTTTAAGTAGTTTTTAATTATTTCTTTACCGGCTTCTATAAGATGTGAATTATCTTCTTTTGCAATTTCGGTGGGTGCTGACGTTGTTGTTGTTGTCTCTTCTCTCTCTTGTTTAAGTTCTTGCTGTATAACATACGATCTGTGAATTAGGGATTTCCTTAAAATTTCGTCATCAAACTCTTCACCAAGTCTCTTGCCAAAGGCGTATATTTCAGCATCATAGTTCCATTCTAGGAATTCTGATCGTTTTCGAAGAGGTTCGGGCCCAATTTTGTCCCGTCTTCGTTTTAATTCTTTCAGAGTGGGTGCTACCCATCTCTTGATATGTTTAATGTCTATTTAAATAATCGTTAATTTATATGTGTAATTTCTCGGTAAATTAATATTAGGTACCTGCTGTTCGAGGGTTGTGGATGGTTTTTAACAATTGTCGGCTCAAAACGTTCACATTTCTCAAAAATATCGACATATTTTGAAAATACCTAAAAGTAAGGTTAACCCAATAGTTAATTTTATTAGGTTAATTGTTCTTTTTGTTCTCTTCTGACGTTAACTGTTGTAGTATTATGGTCCATTCAGCCAATGTCATATACAGAATGTTCTTAAATGAATACATTGAAATATAACTCTTTTGTATGTATTTACTATAAATTGCATCAAAGAAAAGCAAAGTTTGCTTTACATAATTTACAATTTTTATTGTACTATTCCCAACGCTTTTGGTACAGTTTCTTCAAGAGGTCCTTGAAAATGGAACCTATAACAATAATTTAATTTTAATATTGTGTTATACAACCCATTTATAATTGCAATAAATTACATAAAACGGTTATCAGATGGGGTGTTTACCATACTGAATTCGGCCACAGGTATCCCCCTTTTAGCCGCGTTAAGTCCAAATAACACTGCTGGATAATTACTAAGGGAAGTACCGATAATTATTAATAAATCACACACAAGAAGTAAGTGACCTACCGAAAAATTATTAACATAAAACTACAAAAGGAATCGTCTTTAATAAACATTACTTACTAACTTGAAGCATCTTATCTGTGTCTAATTTTTCGCCAAACCAGACAATATTGGGGCGAACTAAACAACCGCATTTTCTACATTTTGGTAATTGATTTTCATCAATCGGTGAAAACTCAGATTGAGGTAAAGCCGGATCTCTATATTTGAAAAATTATTTTAGGTGCTTTTATTTTGTAACAGTAGACGTTGAACACCCTGTATCTATAGATACGCAAATATCTTACCGATTGTTAAACTTACAACATATATTTAAATGCTGGTACTATAGGGTCATCGTAAACCGTTTCGATTGTTTTACATTGATTATTGGTACAAATAACTTTTCTCAGTGAGCCATGTAATTCAAGGACATTTTGAGAACCAGCACGTATATGCAACCCATCGACATTGTTTGTTATGATGTTGAATTCTTTGTTTTCTCTCTTACATTTTCTTTCGAAATCCGCCAGATTTAAATGGACCTTTAATAAAACGATTGTTTTGAAATTTTAAAAACTGATTAGAAGAAGAAATAAATGAACTAGGACGTCATAGACTCAAACACGATCAAAGTTAAATCAACAACTATTTTCATGATAATTTTAACTGCAATAAATAGGTCGACCAGTTAATATAAAATATAAAACTTAAACAGCAAATGAATAAGAAGTAACTACTTTTATGATAAGTTATAAGGAATTTGGACTTCATTAAATAAAACAACAAATAGCTAAGATACTTTAGTAAAAAAAAAACCTTGTTAGGATATGACCGAAAAGCTGAGTTTCTTCGATAATTATAAAATTCCCAAACCAAAGACGGATTCGCTTTGAATGCTCTAATATTCGATAAATGTTCGACTTTGAAATTCCTCCACCTATCATTTTTTTCAGTTTTACTAATAGATTTATTATTACACCCATCTTTGGAAAAGTCTGTCCCAGTCATCACCACAATATCGTGAGCATCATTTAACACTTTTCTGAATGCTTCATGATCTGAATAATTGTAAGCATTCGAAGTCACGTTTCGTTTATTTACTTTAGAAACTTTTACCAACAGTTTTTGTGCCCAAAACCTTTTAAAATTGGCCATTTTTGATGGAACTTGTAAAATTTAGACATTAGTAATGTTCCGAGTAAAATGTGACAAATTCTCTGTTATCTAGATAATTATGATTTGCAAAATACAGAATGTTCTAAAACCATTGTTATTAGAACCAAGTAGGTGCCTACTAATATTTTTAAAAAAAGACACACGAGTCTGATCGCCCTGTACATAATAATTTCTTGAAAACACACGAATATCCCATCCCTTCCTTCTTCTTAAAATCATATACGTTTCTGATCTTTCTGCATTTACTTTCTCTCGCAATTACCACCGCTATTAATAATAACAAGAGACAAATTGAATCGGTTAGTTTACTAGTGTTACCTGATCATCTACATGCGTATGTATATTAACAGTGTACCGGTTATTTAATTGTAAGAGAAAACGACAACATAATACTTGATCGTGAGTTAAATTATACAAAAAACGTAGTTTGTACACGTTTGCACGTTGTTTTCGCTTTAGACGTTTATTACAGATAATAAACAAAAAAATATGATACTTGTAAGTATGTTTAATGTAATTTAAAACAATTGCCCAGTACTAAAATAATAATACTGACCATATTTCAGTAAGAAAATTATATAATTGAATAAAAGTTTGACCCAAATTTAAGTTCGGCCAGAACCACTTTTGTTTTTTTTTTCTGATAAATAGGCCACATTTACCATCCTGTATATGAGCACAAGTACCTACACGCATGTAGCATCTTTAACAGTTTTTTATAAAGCAACAAATTGCAATTACGTTTACAGATTGTTCTAAAGCAATTTTAAATGTCAATTTGCAAGGAGATGCTGTCTACGACGTTAAAATTTCAATGGAAGATGAACACATTTATTGTTTTTTTTGTGCAAAAAAATCTGTTATTTATTCGTAAAGCGTCCTTGTCTCGCCTAATATCAATGTAATCGATTCTTTTAATACTAATCATCATAAAGTGTGGGCATTCCTATTAAGTATGGAAAAAGTTGCAAAAGACTGATGAGGTCGTTTTTTACCAATAAATATTAATGATGTACAATAATTACTACATACATATACAGGGTAGATAATAATTGCTTTCTTTATTTGTTCTCATTCCGTTTGAATTGTTTGATCTGAGGTTTTTTTGTATTTAAATAACGAAACTTCGCGCCACGTAATTTTGTTTTAAAGATGGCCGTCAACAATGAGAGTTGTCATATATCTCTGACTTTCATTGTTGGCCGCCATTTTTGAAACAAGTTCACGTGGCACAAAACAAAAAAACTAGTACTGGGCTAATTTGATCAGTCTTTGTCGTATTTTACAAGTTAACGATACCAATATTGCATTATAATTTTTAGCAAGCGTTTCTAATTACTTTAATAAGTACGATTGGTCTGTGTGATGTACGCCATTTAAATTATGAGGTAACTCCTACCACCGAATATTACGAATCCCCTCGACCTTATGCTTTTGGCTATGCAGCCGGTAGATATCCTGGTAACATTGATCGAACCCATTCCGAAATAAGTGATGGATCTGGTGTAATAAGAGGTAAAAAACGTTTCAAAGACCATATTTAACTTATTAAATATTTCGTCAACCTGTTTATTAGGTACGTTTTCTTATGTCGATCCCCGTTTCAAAATAAGAACGGTGGAGTATGTGGCCGATAAAGATGGCTTCCATCCACATTTAAATCAGGTTCCTCCGCCACTTCCGGCGGATTCTCCGGTCGTTGCGGCAGCCAAACAACGCCATCTTGTACAGTACGCGGCTATAGCCAACTCTCATCAATCACCCCAGGAAAATGTAGTTTTACCGGGTGACACTGCGGCCGTTGAAAATGCTAAACTGAAACATTTCAAACTTTATAACAAAATCGCTGAAGAACATGCACGTTTATCAGCCGAAACGGCCGCCAGGGAAATCCCTATACATCAGGAATACGGAGAACAAGAGAAAGTCCGTGGTCTCAATTATTATCAGTAGATCAAAAGAATAATTGAACGCAAGCGCGAAAAACTTTCTTCAATATTTTGTTTGTTATGAATGACAGTTGTTCAATATTCATCCATTTGTTGATAACATAATGGTTCGATTATTGATCACAATCGTTCAATTGTTACTAACAATTAAATACGTTATCCGATAGCAAAACGCTTGGAAAATTTATGAATTATGCGATTTGTTATTTTTATTAACTTCCCATTAGGAAGTTATTGTAATTGGGTCGAAAAGTGAAATCGGAATTTTCATTATATTTCCACGTTTTAACATATTAGTAGCATGCTAGCCAATTTTTTTGATGATGTGTGTATGTACGTACGTACGTACGTACGTACGTATGTACGTACGTTCGTATGTCAGCATTTTTTTCGTTTTCGATATCTCAAGAACGGATTGAGATATCGCCCTCAACCAAAATTTTTTCGAAAGATATTATCATAATGAAGATCTGAAAGAAATTTGAACGAAATCGGTCAAGCCGTTTTTTTTTTATAAAAAAAAAAACGAATTAATTACAAACAATTTAATTAAAATACGTTCTAATCTAATCACAACAATGAAGTTACGGAATCAATAATAACGAAATATCATTATTCAAGACAGGGAATAACATATTATAATAACATATTATAATAAAAATTTGTTTATAACAAAATGAATTGTTATAAACAATCGATAAACAATAAAAAATAGTATTTACCAATTGACTGATGCAAGTACTCTATCAATTCGGTTTTCTCAGACGAAATACTGTTTCTTATGGGTTTATAAAATGACGAACTCTCAAACATTGTTTGTTATTTATTATTGTGCCGCGTTTTTTTCAAACTTTAGAAACGAATGTACTTTACAATAACTGTATTATCTAATGGGAAGTTAGTCGTATTAGCACCGACCAAAATGTGCTCAGACCAATTTTTTTATTAATTTTAGTTATTAATCTTTTTTTTAAGATTATCTAAAAAATTACATTTTGAATATTCATTTTGTATATATGAACTTGCTTGTTTTGGATAACAGTTGTTCAGAATTCGTCCATTTGTTGATAACAATGATTCGCTTATTGATCACAATCATTCAACTATTACCAACAATGGCTCAATTGTTACTAACAATAAAATACGTTATCCGATGGTAAAACGTTTGTATAACGTTTATTGTTAATTTTAAGCAATGAACTTTATTGATATTCTTTTTACTTAAAGATTAAAAAGGACATTTTGAATATTCATTTTATATCTACTAATCTGGTTGTTATATACCTGTCATGATTAATTTTACTGCTTATTACAACTTAATAAAAAAGTGAAATAAAAAGGACAATTATTAAAGAAACAAAATATATTTATTACACATACAAAATAACATCTTCATCACATCACATTCATCTTAATATTAATTTATGGGACAAGCGCTTTTACGTACAAGATTACTGATCACCAAAAAAAAAAATATTTTGTACATTTACAGAGCTTTCAAAGCGGAGAATCTAGTATACAATTAAATTACTTTTTCAAAATTCGTTGCATGTCTTTGTTCTGTCTATTAATGGTAATGTCTGCCTTTTCTACTTTGTCAGTTACGTTACCAATAAGGTCATTTTGAGAATCGATTTCAAAGGACATATCAGTTGCTAATCCTTTTAGGCGTGAAATATTGCTGTGCATTTCTTGAAGATTTGCATCTAAACGTGCTGTAAAGTCTTTACTGCCTGAGGACTGAGTCTGAATGTAGTTTCCGCTACCCATATCAGTTCCTCTTAATCTTACTGATGGATGATTATCGTATCTGTCATACTCAGATAGTTTTTCCTGTGATACTGATTTAAATGACGGCTGAAATTCATTTTAGGTAATTTTCAATTTTGTAATGTACATATTAATGAAAACTCACCTTGGAATTACTAGATCCAGAACTGGGAGTCGGACTTTGATCGTTTTTTCCAGATATGTAATTTTTTAAGCTGCTAAAAACGGACTTTATACCATTTATATGTTTTTGGGAAAATCTCAAACTCTGGTTAATTTCGTCTAATTGCTTATCAGTTCTTTCCAGTTGTTCCCTTTGTTTCATAAGTTCCTCAGCAGTGGCAATACCCACTTGTTCCGATTCCCTTAACAAACCAATGCTTCTTTCAGTGCTTGTGAGGGTCCTCTCTTCAATTTCCTTCCTCTTTTCTAGAAACGTCTGCCTTTGCTGATCGACTGGTAGGGAGTCGTAAGTTCTTCTAGAATTTCTAAGAAACGTTTCATCATCTACGTCCTCTTCAAACAAATTCTCGGAATTTGCTATATACTGATGACTAGACATAATCACTTTCTATAAATGTAACAATGGTGGACGATCTTTGCGAAGTAATTTCCTTTACCAATGTACCACTTTGTACCACTTGCCAAGAGACCTTGCTTTTTGTATTATCACGTAGAAGATCTCGATATTCAACAAAGTCGATGTTAGAAATATGTTAGAAATTAGGTTAATTATTTAAATGACACAAGGGAAACGTTAGCAAAATATTTTACACGTAACTATCACAGTTATTTTATTATACTTAATAATTTTTATTAACACACTTATTGCACTGTTTAATTTTTATTATCAACATAACTAACTATTCGTCTTATCAAAATAATAAATAAATCATTTTATTCAATCGGAATATGATCGGAATGTTTGATGATCGTATTATGTGAAGCCAACATTTTGATGAAATATTTAACAGTTGCAATTGTCAGTGATATTTGTCAGTGGCGTGTACTTAATTTTTACTATAACAAACTATTATTATCGAACAAATCATAAGAAAAAAACATACAAAAACTTAGGAAAAGTATTATTATGGCTTCTGCATTAATTTAGTGATGATTCATTCAATTATCTCAATTGTTAATGATTTTTTTTTAAATTTAATGGGAAGTATAATTATTTTATTGATACGCCTATGCTTTTTGCCCTACATTGACGTCACAGAGGGTATCATAATTTGACTTCACATTTTGTAGCACTTGTATCGATAAAGGGCATATACATTGTTCGGGTTTTTGTATTAATGAAATTTAAAAATTTTTCATATTATTGTTTTTTAACAAAATCTATTATTAGTTGACAATAAATAGTTATTAAATAAATATTTAAAGTTTGTTAAAGGTAATCAAACGTTTTGTTATTCTGAGATTCTGATTGTTTTATAGAATGCTTATCAAATTTAGATTTTGTGATTTTTTTATTTATTAATTAGTAAAGATTTTTCATTTGTATTTTCAAAATCTTATTTAACCATCAGTCATGTATTATTATACCTTATTAGGATGTTTTTGTTACTTTGTTGTAACCGACTACATCATTGTTGTAAATTCTAGGAAGTTTCTGTTTTTTCATGCATGTTTATGGGATTGTTAATAATACGATCAGTAATGTCATTTTCTATACCAAATATCTCATTAATATGAATCATCATTTAACGAAAAACGCTTCAAATTCTTTTATTTGAATTCCTTAGGGTATTTTTTAGTTCAGTCATCTTCCTAATTGTTAATTAATTAACTACCTAAAGGTATAATCGGTATAGTTGAATAATAAATAAATAATTAAACAACGAGCTGTATGATAAAAAAAGGTGTCGGTATTTACAATTGGGTGGACCAGACAGGTAAATAATAAACTAATCCGTGCCAGTCTACAAGTTGTTGTACGAGTTTTGTGTGAAACACGTCGGTGATATCATCATTTCTTATCGAGTAGTCGAATTCACTCGAATTATTTTACCTGGGTTACCTTCTTTTGTATTTTTTTGCCAATTAGCGGGATTGAAATTTGTAATGCAACAGTTTTAATATTGGTAAGTCATTTTTTAATACAATTGTCTTCTTAATTTAATCAAAACAGTGAATAAACAATAATAATGAAATCGAAATTGAAACATAACCTTCAAATACATTTTTTTTCTTTAATTCCAATAAAATAATTTCAGATCTTATTACAACTACAAATATCTAGCATACATTTGTATTTCTTGTAATCGTTCCTTTTTAGATTTTATTATGATAAACTTTGGTTTTTGTATTTTGCAAGTAAAATATTTTCAGTTGTTACTTTCTAACACATACATAATGTTAATATTGGTAAATGTTTAATAATTAATATAAAATACATGACCTTTAAGTAAAATTAATTAGAAATCGCATCATTTACGGTTTGGTTTATTATTTATCTTGTACTTTTAAGAAGAATGACTATACCTGTACCTAATAGGTAGACCCACCCATATAATAAATTATAAGTAATGCACGATAAATATTTGAGTGTAGTAGTCTCAAAAGTAGACCTCCTGTGTGTCACAAAAATAAATAAAGAAGTAAAATACTTAAGAATAAATATAATTTCGAAAACTAAGAAGACTAAATGTCGTATCCTTCTCTTCTTTTAATTAATTTCAAATAGGTAGGTACCTAATTCTTTTCGAATATTTAAATATTTTTTGCTTTCGTTTGCAGAATTAAAAACTGAGTACATAAATATTTGTGACATAATCAATTATTTTGTAATAGTAAATAGAACTTAATAGTTTATGTTAGCACATTTTTTCATATACGGGGTGATCATGTACTAAGACTGCAAATATACCCACTTAGACATAAACATAACATAAAATATTAGGTACAGAATTTTCGGTTGTTTATAAATATTTTAAACTGTATTTATAATCATTTTTATGGAATACCGCTTAATACAGAATTTGCTGCATTATGATTAAATATTTTTCTAAAATTTCAAAAAAAAATAGAAAAAGGGAACTTAAAAGAGTATTAATATGCTCGATTTTCGTTTTAATTAATTTCTAATATTCCTTTTTTTTTAATATTTATAAAGTATGTAGTAATTTTAGAACTTTTTTATTGTTAGCGTTTAGTATGTGCAAGAAAAAAAAAATTAAAATCATTAATCTTGTTTATTCAATTTTTATTATAACAGCTGTAATTATCAGGGCAATGTATGAGTTGTTTGTTGATTATAAACATAAATTGACAAGATTATTATTTTTATATGCGACGTTAGTGGTAATTGAATAGTATAACTGGAGTCATTCCATTCAGTGCATCCGATCGTAGACCACAATCGGGCAATTTTGATAATAAAAAATGTTGTCAAAAAGCGAATATGTACGCAAAAATCCATCCATTATATTTTTATCCTTTTATCATTATGTAGTCAGTTATTGTGTCTCGTTGTCTTTTGTATAAAATAGCTTTATTTTTGGTGCTACTGCCGCTTTAAAAATCATTCATTTATTTGATGATGTTAATATTTGCTTATGTTTTTAGGATAAAATTATGGACGACTTGGACAAACATTTGGCCGAATTACAACTGATCAATAGCATTGATTTGCCACCGAATCCGAATTCGGGACAGTATGGAACGTTGGGAAAAAAAATGGGGCCAGCTGTGCCCCCAAAACCCAAAAAGACGCAGCCTGAGGTAAATATTTTACTTTCTATTAATTACCAACTGGACGATATTAATAATAATTCTAATATTATTACTGTACACAAACGATAAAATTAGTAATTTCGTAATCGTTAAATTATTTATTTTATCACAAATTCGTGAGCATGTATGAGTATGATGGATTGTAGATTTATCAAAATAGTAGTTATACGAGGTATTATGTAATGTTAACAATTTAAAAGGTAATAAGTGCTTAACTATAAAAAACATATTTTTTTATTAAAATGGCCCCTTAGACAGTTATTATTACATTATCATATAATAATTATTATTATTGACATTTCTTTGTTTCTTCTTTTTATTTCTTGTGGACGAAATGTCAATATATGAAAAATTTCCATTGTTTATTCGTTGTTTGTTTATTAATACAATTTTCAATATAAAATGTATTATGATGTTATTTGGGTTGCATACATACATACGTTAATGTATAATATATACAAGGTGACCCAAATAACGTCGCAATAGAATTTACAATAAAAAAACAGACACAACAAACCGAAACAAAAGACTATCAACGATCAAAACAAATGTAGAAATAAACAAAAGTAAACTTTAATGTCCTGATTTCTCAGCTTCAAGAAATAGTGTTGTAATTTAAGGATTACGCAACTACTAATTTTAATTGTTAGTTTTCGGGCATTCTGGCTGTGGTTGGTAAAAGATTTTTATTCTCAAATTGTACGTTGAGGATAAGAAGTATTCAAAGATGTATTCAGCACTTTCTCTTGTGTTTATATTTTTTTTACTAATTTTAAATTATCCTTATTGTTTGTGTTTATATATTTATTCAATTCTTTATCAGGTGCCGCATTCGACAAACGTGAAATCCGTTACAGAACCATCTTACGCCTCACGTTTACAAAGTCCGCACCTGTACTTCAACCTACCTCCTCAGTCGACTCAAACTCAACAACAGTCGCCTTCCAACAACAGCAATTCAAATCTAACGCGTTCAAACGTACACTCCCATTCGACCCTCACATACTCAAACGTCTCGCAGCAAAACAACAAAGATTTGCAACAACACTATTCGAATTACCCCCCGGAATCGTCGGATTCCGCCCTGTCATCTCATCCCGTTTCCAAATCCGTCTCTCCCACATTATCCCGACCGGCGTCGAATATATCACATACGGCCTATCGCGGTTCGAACATGTCCCACAATTCCGATCTCACGATCAGTTCGAATTTGCCCAGTTCGTCGACCCTGAGCAACTCGAACCTGTCATTGGCAACGAACCCTGCCAACGTCGCCACTTACGCTCCGAAACCTTACACGAAACCTGAGCAACATCACGTGACCTATAGTAACGTCCAAGTGGGCGGAGGGGGGCCCATAATTAACTGCGACGGACTGATCTACAGCAATCTGGTGCACCCCCCTAGAGAGGGGGTCATTTATAGCAATCTTCCTACTGCTGGAAACGGGATGTATAGTAGCGGAGGTGATTTATTATATATTTACTATTTTTACAGTAATTTGAAAGTTCTGGATTTATAAATATGTAACCTATACCGTTTCTACGTTTCTGCTAATAGTATAATTTATTTATTTATTTGTATATTGTGAAAATGTTGTAGTACATTTCTTTTATTTTTATTAATTTAGTTTATAGTATTTTTTTAAAGTTTTAAGTGGAATTTGTTATTACAGCAGATGACTTACCACCTCCGCCGCCGCCGCCTCCAGAGGTGGCCATGGGCGACTACGCTCCCTGTACAGTTAACACGAATCTTCCTCCCCCTCCCGATGACCTACCGCCGCCCCCTTCGCCGGTCAGTTCGAGTTATAGCGAGTTACGAAGAGCTACCCATCCAGGTCAGGACTATCCAAATTATGGCCTCGGTTCTCAGGTATTATAATACACTCAAACTACTAAATTTTCTTTTTTTTTTTCTCGTAAAAGTTGAGATAGTAAGAAAAGTAACATTTTTCAGTCTTCTTCGACGTACGAATCAATTTACGAGCCCATAAATCCGAGGCCTCCGAGTCAGATGTCTTCGAGGTCAAATTATTCACTGTACGCCCCGTATGTGAGCGCCGGGAGTAACGTTTCGGGTCCGAGTCAGTCCGCCAGCAGGATAGGGGTGCCGAAGGAACAGGAAGTTGACGTGTTAACCGATTTACTAGTCCAGGGGATGCAGGACAATGTCGAAGTCGATTTTTATGGAATTTGTGTCAAGTGTGGCGAAAAGGTACGCGTTTGGTTTGTTTATTTTGTTGTTTTTAATTTTATAATAGTGTAATTTTATGGTTTTGGTTCGGGGGTAGGTCGTTGGGGAGAACAGCGGCTGCACTGCTATGGACAAGATTTATCACACGAAATGTTTCACGTGCCACCAGTGTGCAGTCAATTTGCAGGGGAAGCCTTTCTACTCGTTGGATGGTAAACCCTACTGCGAGGAAGATTATTTGGTAAGAAACACTAAAGCGCCATGGTAAAAGCGATTCTTTTCTAATTCTAACTGTATTTTGACATAAAAGTAATAGGTTGTCTTCAAAAGTGAGCTCCTAATTCGAAGATTAAGAGGTATCTCATTTCATGTGAAAGTTTTAAGGAATAAATAAATAAGTAAAAAACATAAAATAAATGTTGTAAATACACGTATTCATTGTAAAATACGATAAAGAATTTTGCAGCTAATAAGTTTCTGTTACCATGTAAATAATTATGTATATTTTTTATTTGTTATTAGAATACTTTGGAGAAATGCAGTGTCTGCATGAAACCGATTTTGGACAGGATATTGCGAGCCACCGGAAAACCTTATCATCCTAAATGTTTCTGTTGCGTGATCTGTGGTAAAAGTTTGGATGGAATCCCCTTCACTGTCGACGCTACAAATCAGATACATTGCATTGAAGATTTTCACAAGTAAGTGACTGATAAAGACATCTTCTAAACGAATTGTTGCAGATATTTTTTAGAGTTCAGTGCAAAAAAGATACCCAAAATTGGAACTTTAATAATCTCAAAATATTATATGTTACAGAACCTGAGTTCGTACCCCACCTGCTTTTGATTTTTGACGATTTTCTTGATATATTTTTCTTTGATAATTAAAAAGAATAACTTATTTCATATTGATGACAATTTTAGCAGATTAATTTGTCTTTTAATGCAGCGTTCGATATATCATGAAAAAATAGTCACATTTTTATTGCTCATTATATGTTAATTTCTTATGCTGAAGTGTACGATGTGTTGCATACCTATTTACAAACAATTCAAAGGAAGTGATTAAATAAATTGTTCACAAAAGTGAATTTCGACTACTTGAAGCAATGGTGCTAACAGTTTCGAGCTCACATTGACTGATAGGGGGGAAGAACTAGTTGTTATTATTACATTTTGTCTGCTTTTACTTTAACGAAAGATTGTGAGATATATTTTAACGATTGTTTAATTTATCAAACAAATACTAAATTACCAGTGTTTTTTTTTATTACTTAGAAAATTCGCTCCAAGATGTTGCGTGTGCAAGCAACCCATTATGCCTGAACCTGGGCAAGAAGAGACTGTTCGGGTGGTAGCACTGGACCGCAGTTTTCATATACAGTGTTATAAATGCGAAGTACGTATTTCGTTATATATTTAATCTTAAGTAAAGGTAAAGTTTATTAATCTAGTTAATAAATGTCCATGTGTTCATCTATGTATCAAGCTTCGTTGGCAATGTTATTGTATACGTGTGTGGGTATTTACGAATTTTACATTTAAAAAATGAATTTCCTATTTTCCTCTTTCCTAGTCCCCATAGTTATTACCAACGAGGGAGACGTACGGTATCATTTTCTATCACACTGTTTAATGTGTACTATTTTTTTTAAATATATTCTTTTAAACAGGATTGCGGCTTGGTGTTATCCTCGGAGTCGGAAGGGCGCGGATGTTATCCTTTAGACGATCACGTGCTATGTAAAAGCTGCAACGCCAAGAGAGTGCAAGCCCTTACCAGACACATGACCACCGAGCTGTGAGACATCTTTTTATTTTAATAACAACAAAAGCAAAAAAACAGTTGCTCATTTTTTTTTTGTTTGTTTAATTAATAATATTGCTGTCGCCAACTATATATATCTTATTTTAAATATTTAATTTCTTCTTAACCCTCGCTATTACATTGTGACGTAATTATCGACAAATGACGTAGGTACGCGTCAACAATCGACAACAACAATGGCAAAAAATGTACATTATTGTTTGAAGCATGTGTACGAGCGCAATTGTTTGACGTTTTCTAATTATTGAAATGTCAAATGACATAAACGACTGTTTGCAACAATTATACGAGGACATTTGTTTGACGTTCTTTAATTGTTCAAATGACAAAAGACGTACAACGCTGTTTGAAACAATGATGTGCTTGTGTGTTTGACATCTTTTCATTATTGAAATGACAACTGACGTAAAAGAACAGTTTTTAACTCTGGTCTTTAGGTGCATTTGGTTGTTGTCTTGTAATTGTTGGAACCTTCTTTGTTTTTGCGCGGTTTTAGAAATTATATACGGAGTGTTCCATTTATATCAATATCAAACAATATTAGGGATACATAGTAGTCTTTGTCGAAAATTTTAATGATCCGAAAGCTTGATAAGGGTGATAAAATAAACCACCCTTAAGAAAACTAAAAATTCTGTCACAGCTACCCTGTATATTTGAAAATTATTTTTAATTCCATTTAGGAAGCAAAAACAAACTATTCACGTGGTCACAAAGGTTAAGGGGTGTTTAAAATACAAGATCATGCTAAGGCTTATAATAAATATAAAAAAATGGCTCACAGTTAAATAATGTTTACCAATAGAAGACTGTTATGGATTTATTAATTTATGATAAGTATATGATAGATAATATATAGTAGTAAGTGTTTATTATTAAATTAAATTAAGCAAATATTATACACACTTACATATTATATTTATATATTAAGTAAGATCATATATTTTTTTACCACAGTTTATATCTTTTCGACTTTTTGTAGCTAATTAATAATTATTATTCCCCTAAATGATTCACTTTTAAATTTTATAATTGGCAAATAAATGTGGGGCATTCGTAAACCCTTGGAAAGAAAAAATAACCAAAAATGTAACAAAATATTCTTTTGGATACTTTTTCCACCTTCGTTGTCAATTATGATTATTTTATTATTATTCTGCAATCCCTTTTAACTGTTTTTTAACTTTATTTAACTGTCTTCTAATATTCGGGCCTTTTTTATACGTTTTTAACCTTTTACACAAGTGCTTTTGCTTACGTACAATATATTTCTCCAATTACTTAAGCAGTGTGCCAGTTATAGGTGCTGATTGTGATTTTTTTATTGATTATATAATGATAATATTATTATTGTAAAAAAGATGCTATAATGATAAATAATATACATACATACATACATGTCAAAAAATAAACCATTTTAAGGGTGATTGTTTTTATCAATGCCCCAAGCACGATGTATGTAAATATATTTGGATAAATGTACAAAGGTGCGCACAACTTCTTTTACATGGTAATATAAAATGTAAAAAATATGAAAATCAAAGTTTTCCCTGGGCCTTCAGTTTTTGCCTGAGCGACTCGGGCATCTCCGCAGGAGGAGGCCTTGGCATTCGAGTAAATACCTAGGAAATAAACATTTCTATTTTAATATACGGTATGTCACAAATGCGTACCGCTTAATTTCAAGTAAATGACAAAAAGATGCGCTAATATATTCGCGAAATCTTTTGTTCTTCGTTTCTCTACGCTTACTAGACTTTCTCGAATAATTTGTTACCTTAAACGAATCGTATATAAACCATTGAAGTGCGGTAAGGGTTCCGATCATAATTATTCGGGGCCCGAGTCCGCCCCATATGCCAGCGAAACCCAATTTTTTAAGAATGTCCCCCGCAGACGATCCTTTTTCTTTGTTCATTTTCGACACCAGCGTATCGGCCGGATGACTGACCACGGCACAAAATACTCCAGCAATGTATCCGGCCACAAACGTGACCAATAGCTGTTCGAATTTCGTGCATGCTTCTCGGGGCTTCGGGACCACGTGTTTGTAAAGCAATTCTACCGTCTTTTCGAAACATGCGAATTTCATCATCGTGTAGGGTATTTGGCGCATCCATAACGGTACGAGACCTTAAGTAATCAAATGGTTTAGACCGTATTCACCAAAAAAAGGTTACAAAGAAAACGGAATATTTACTGAGGATAAGATAGAATAAATGGACTATTTCAAAGTCAAATAGTTGATTGATTTGTATCCATATCTCACATCAAATGAATGAAAACAATAACTTTGACCTTTCATAGTTAATTGAGTGCAAACAATGCGATTCCAAAGAACATACCCGAAGATTAAATCGATCATTTCAACGCCAACATAAAGTAACGGCTTAAGTGATAAGTAAAATAAAAAAAGGGGCAGAATCCATTAGGAAGTGTCGAAAATAAGTCACTGAGGTCAATGACTTGAAAAAGTTGAATAATTCTGTGCGGTGATTACGCCAACTTCCTATTGTTTGCATTCTATTAATTATCAGTTACATATCAAAAATTGGTTTGGTATCATTTGATGTGAAATGTTATTAAAAACTCATTTTTTCTGTCTGTCATCAGTGTGTGATTATTTATTGTAAATGCAGTCTAATGTAGACCTCTGTAGAAGCCACCCACGCCTTCCTCTCTTATTATTTTAGGCCAGGCCTCTCTAAGGGTGTCTGCAAAGCCAGGGTTGGTTTGAATTTTAACTTTGGCAGCTTCCATCGGGGCTAAACCGATATCGGCGAAGAATTCTCCAGAAGCACTTGCGCACAAGTACAGCCACGTCCTGTAGAGGTAAGCGGCCTCATCTCCCATCATATCGTGGTAAACAACCTAATAGTAAAAACAAAAGACGGCTATTTACTTATGTAGACACGTTTGAAGATATACTTGCATTTCATATTTATTTAAGCCGGTGTATACATAAATAATAATAGTTGTGTATTTATTTAAACATCGGTTTTGATTACGTATTTAAATAGGGGGTGCCAGATGCTTGGTAACTTATGGGCATGCTGCTAACTTCATGCCAACGCATTTTCGTTAATTGTGCGCGCGCAACTCCCGTTCGCTGTTATAATTTTACACCCAGCACCCCGAAAGAAGTATAACTTCAAAAATAAAGAGAATTTGGAACACATATCTCATCCATTATACGAGCTATAGTTGCTTACTTTAAATAGTTCGTACAGACCGAATTTTCCGAGCCCTTGGGTGGAGTAACCGAAAAAGGTTGGAGCCCAGCCCCTAGTCAACCCTTTCGCTCCTTCTTCTTTTACTGTTACTTTAAGTCCGTGAATGAGATTCTTATATTTATCCTTATCTACTTGTAATCTGCATTTAACCAGATCTAACGGCGTCACCAGAGTATGCGTGAGGCCGCAAGAGAACATACCTATACATCGTAAAATATTTTTTTATTACAATAAATAACTAAGGATAAAGAAAATAATAGGAGTGAAGTTTGCAAATATTGTTTGCTTTTGAATTTTTGAGTAGGTATTCTTTCTTCTTTCAAATTAATTTTGTCTATCTTCGACTCACCCCCAATTCCACATAATACAAAATATTTTGGACTGGCAAATTCACAACTGTAATTCCCTGAATCGACATTGGCAGAGGCTGCAGCTATAGTTCTTCCACGAACCAATTTTTTTACTACTTTTGATTCTAATAAATCATTAATTTGATATTTTTGCTCTTGATTATTACTGACAGTTAGTGGGGTAGTTTGATCTTTACTTTTGCCAATTTTGTTGATTCCAAATATTGCACTTAAAATCATTTTGGCAATCTAAATGTATCTAAAACAGCATTTTTTATTGTGCGTGACATGTATTTCATTTATCACTCACACTTTAAAAATTTCTTTTTGTTTACATGATAATGACGTGACAAAATGATAATGTCATTTCTGGAAAAATTAGAACGAGTAAGTGCCAAATCTCTGGTTGCATCTATTCATATTAAAAAAAAAAATACAATTCGGATACAAATTTGCTGTTTGTAGTTTCTTATTGTTAAAATTGCAGTAAATAATCAAAAGATTATACTAATAAATCTTTGTCTTTATTACCGTTTGCTTGATGTTCTGAGCACCCTGTAAATTAAATGTCTAAAAATTGATTCCGTTATTTGTCTATTAAAATCTACTCATTGTTTTTTAATACGGACCTGGCTCATTTTTTTTTATGATTGTATGTTTTGGAAAGTTTTTAAAAATTTAATTCATTATTTTCCCATTAGCGGTTTTAATTGTTCTCAACCATATACATAATTAATATCAATTCGAAAGTAATTTACGTAGGTCGCAAATACACACAAGTCTCGGCATTCTACATTCGTTAAGATTGCGGGACGATTGGTTACACGGCTTTCACGTGCGTAACTTAAACGCGCGTCATTAGAATACGTCATGTTCTATTTTCATCATTCTCCTACTTTCTTATTTTTGCAGGTAATGTTGGTTTGTTAATTATTTATCAAGTTAAATGAGAATAAAACGCGTCATTGATAGAATTAAAAGTTTATTTCCAACATATATTATCGACTAACATATATAAATAATGGTACACTGGGCAGAAATTATCTCTAAAAGATTTTATTATGTGTTTTTTTTGTCAGAACGACGAGTAGTTTCCAATACTGAGCGAGCTCATTCCTTATGTTGAGTTTATGATATTTCAAAAGTCATAGACAAAGTTCCTAAACATTTTTTATTACTTAATTTATATTCAATTCAATTGGATCTATGCTGCTGGTTGGAGCTTCTTTTTCAAAGACTCTGGCATTTCTGGAGGTGGTGGACGTGGCATCCTCATTGCAACCTAACAAATAATTTAATTAAGTATTTAATCCCAAAATTGAAGTGAATTATGTGTTAGTACCTTGAAAGCATCATAGATGAACCATTGTAGGGCAGTAAGAGTACCAATCATGACAATCCTGGGCATTAGACCCTTCCACATTCCCATAAAACCTAAACTCTTGAAAGCTTCAAGGGCTGTAGAACCCTTTTCTTTATTCAATTTGGAGACCACGGTATCAGCAGGGTGACTTACAATAGCGCAAAAGACACCAGCAATGTAACCTGCTGCGAACGTCACCACTAGCTGTTCGCCCTTTGTACAGTCCGCACGGGGCTTTGGTACCACGTGTTTGTACAAAAGTTCGACAGTACGTTCAAAACAAGCGAATTTCATCATCGTATACGGGATCTGTCGCATCCACAGGGGCACCAAACCTTAAAAAACAATGTGATAGTATAAACAAATAAAACAAATAGTAGTACAATTATACGTAATCGTTTTAAGAAAAAAAAAAGTTTAGTACAACAATAAAGTACATAATTCCTTAATTACCTTTATAGAATCCTGAAGCACCTTCCTCTCTTATTATCCTAGGCCAAGCCTCTCGTAGGGTGTTGGCATATCCTGGGCTGGTCTGAATTTTGACCTTTGCGGCTTCCATAGGAGACAACGCAATGTCAGCAAAGAATTCTGCAGAAGCACTAGATGCCAAGTACAGCCATGTTCTGTAGAGGTAAGAAGCTTCCTCTCCAATCACATTTGAATAAAATACCTAAATAGCATCCACTTATAACATGTCTCAACATAGGAGTGTAAAAGATGTGTAAAGGTCACAAGAAAAATTGCAATTCTTACAAAAATTATTTATGTACATTTTACAAACCTTGAAAACTTCATAAAGTCCAAATTTACAGAGCCCCTGCATGGAATAACCGAAGAAAGTTGGTGCCCAACCTTTGGCCAGACCTTTAACACCATCTTCTCTGATTGTCACCTTGAAACCATTCAAAGTGCCCTTGTATTTCTCAGGATCCACCTGGATACGGCATTTTACAAGATCAAGGGGTACAATGGCAGTGTGAGTGATCCCGCAAGACAAAATTCCTACACAAAAAGGAAAAAAGGGTAAGAATTTACAATAATTTACTGGGTCCAACATTTTGAACATTTAAAATTGACAATGAAACATAAAAAATATAAATGGGATTACCTCCAAGTCCGCAAAGAGCAAAATATTGCCCAGAAGCAAATTCGCAGCTGTCCCCTTCTGCAACAGCTGCTGCTGCAATAGTTCTTCCAGCTGTTAGTGATTTTACTAGTCCTGGTTGTGTAGTCGTTTTACATTCTGTCTCTGCCTGACACAAAACTTTGGGAAATATTGATGCCAACATGTTATTTTCTTTTAATCAACCAGGGTCCTATAAACAATTCAAATTATAGATAGTTCAATATATTCTACAGTAGAGAATAATATGATATTACCTCCTTACTGTTATACAATTTCCACATTTTAAATAAGGACATTTTTTTCGAAATAAGGATTAGGAGTATGAGGTTCAGCTGAAAGTAGGGATTGAGAAGGTTAGTTAAGTAAAAAACCGTTTTTCACGTCTTGATGTGGTTAGCTATCTTATCCATTCCTCCAAACAAATGTTACATAAATGTACTTAAATTTTAAGTACCTGATATTAATTTGACATAAACTCGAGACAACTCTTTCTATTACTTACAATTTTTTTTTAATTCAAATTTATTTTAATCCTGGTTTAAGAGAAAATCTTCCTCGTCACTACAGATTATCTTTTAGATTTTTTTGGTTTTTATCCAAACAATTTAATTACAACACTGAAACACTTACATATCGCGATTATCACTTATGCAACTTTATATTATGTGGACAATTCTTTTTTAATTGAAATTTTTAATAATTTAATTACGAATTCCGATGACTTTAAAGTTAACCTCTAAAACAACTGTCACCATGACATTTCACGTGATATAACCACAAAAAAATATGGGATAAGCTTATTATAATTTGATTATAACAAAAATGAACTTTAAGCAATAACCGTACCAAAAACTAATAAAATATATACTATTCAGCAATAAATTATTGCGAAGTTACACAATTTTATCGGTAAAAAAACTGAAAAGCATATAGATATTTTATTACATCATTGCCGGCATAATTATCAATTATATTTTATTCAAACTTTTTTATTAATTTACCTCAGTTTATATTTAATTGAATATTTACCGATTATTACAGAAAATTGTTAAAATTAAAATCAAGTAGACTTGTGCTGATTACATAAGATGTTCAGCAAATTATGTTTTGCATTTGTTTAAAGAAAAGCATAATTCTGTTTAATTATTACAGGTACATTTTAATTAATTTAAAGGATGTAAAGGGAAATGTATGGTAATTATTTTTTCAAGTAAAACCAGAAAGAAAGAGTAACTTACCGATCTTAGATGGCTACAATTTCACGGAGGTTGAATCGGTGAAATTCGATGTACTACGAACTGCAGTAACCACGATCACTACCCTCTCAAGGTTACATCGATTACGTTTATTGAATGCAGCACGTGTCATAGCGTTAATAATATTAGGAGCGCCAGATTTAAAAAACGATTTTATCGGAAATGTTTTCTAAATTACCAACCAAAGGGAATTTTAAATTTTAAAATAGTCGAATTTCATACCTTATGATAAAAGCTTTGTTCTGTTTCTGTTTTATTTGAAACCACATACATTTTAAATTATCACTAAAAATTTGAGAAACGATATTTCGCTAGCAAAAGTCGACAAGAGAAATTTTAAAAACTGTACACAGACAAAAAGAGTATTGTAAATATTACAGTTTGAAAGAAAATAGAAATTATGTCGTAAAATCGTGCTATTGATTAATTAATTAATTCATTTATTAAACACTTAATAAAAACACAGGAAAAGGTCTTCAATTAGTTATATTTCCACAAAGAGAAAATGAACACAAATAAACAATACTATTTTATTTTAGTCTGAACATAAAAAATAACTGATTACTCTATGCGGAGTAACTATTATGTATTTAACGGAGATTTAATAATTGTCTAATGTTGTCATAGGTCAACGTTCTTCAAGTTTGAGCTAGAAAACCGTGGCAGTTGGTCCGTGGGGGGCGGTATGAACACACCGACTGGCTTAACTGAATTTCTTTTGTCTTTAAGCTTCGATAGTTCAGTTTTTAATTTGTCTAGAATAGCAAAATTTGGGGAATTCACAGCCGCTTTACTCTGCAATAACGTTATCTCTTGTTCCTCTAATTTCTTTTCTTTGAAACTTTTAATCGATCTATTTCCGTATAATCGCAAAAGGGAGCCCCAAGACGTTATATGGGGATGTAGAGCCTGTAAAACGTAGGGAAATTGTTTAATTATTTGTAATAGTAATTAGTATCAAAATGTACTAACTTGCAATATGGCCTGCGAAGCCCTCTGTTTTCCATCCCTTTTGTTCCTGCACACAACTGTTGCAGTGTGCTTTCCCACCATCATCGTAAATTCGTTCTGTTGATTTAACATATTCCCTTGATAGCTAATTTGTATGTCTCCCAGGCCAAAGTTACGCTGGAGACAGGTAAGAAGTATGTCGTGAGGTGACGGTTCAGTTGTTTTGGCACAAAATTCGGCCACTCGCGGATCTTCCACTTTTATTTTGTCAAAAAACTGTAACCGGGTTAACAAATCAACAAAATTGTCGCACTACATATAAAATAAATGCTATTTCATATATTGAAAGTTTCTAAAAAAAAAAGCTTGACTCAACTTCAGTATACAGATTTTTGATTACCACTGACTTCTAGATTTTTGAAAGAATTCTAATTTGATTGAAGGTTTTAATATATTCCTTAATATAATACAGGAGGAAAAGATAACACAAACGAAGTGAAATTCAATTTTTCAATAAATTAAAACACCTGCAGGCTGCCATTCCTTAGGGGTTAAGCGTCATTTCTATATACGTGACGCCTCTCTGTCTAGAAGTACATATACTGAACCGAAGGCAAAAAACTTACTGATAGTTCACATTCTTGAGCTTTGCTGGCAGTAGATGACACTTTTGAGTCAGTAATTACTTTAGATTTCATTTCTGGTATCAAAATTTCTAAAGTTGCCTTTGCAGCCTCCGATTTTGCCTGTTTCTTGCTCGTACCATACCCAACACCGTATTGCATGTCATTTATTAAAACTGCGGCAGCATAGGGCGTAGCAGCATTTTCTACAAATACACAACTTCATTAAATTACTCAAAATTTACATTAAAAGACATAATATTATAAATTGCTTGCCTAATTCAGTGAATTTATAAGAAGGTTGTTTCTTAAGTGCATGTTGAACATATTCATGCAGAATACAGACATATGATTTTCCATTGGGGTTCATGATCCATTCTTTTTTACTATTTGTCCCGTTAGTACCGTCATTGTCGTTGCTTTGAATGGGGAATGTTATTAGCTTCGTACCTAAATTAATACCATTAGGTTTATATTTTAAATAACAATTTTACATTGTACCATCGGGTAATGTGGGTCTTTGAAGTTGCTTTTCGGTCTTTTTCTTCTTAGAGTATTTTCGTCTTTCGGACCAAGACTTAAATTTCATCACTTTGATTGTCCTGAATTGGAACAGTTTCTCGCAGTACTCTTTCACGTGTTCTGGGGCCAGATTGCTGTTTTTTGAATTCTCAGCAACAGTTTCTATACGTGCGTTCGGCATTTCTAAATTGCCCTCTTGAGTACTCTTGTTCTTTTCCATTTCAAGGGCTTTCTTGTAATTTAGGCAGGGTATGGCACTTATGGGAATTTCATGTTTCTAAGTACATATTCATAATTACAAATTGCCATCAGAATATTAAATCCAACTCACCCTTGCACTTCCTGGCCCAAGAAAATATGGTTTAGATAGAGTGCATACTCTAGTTGTTTTATGCAAATAAATAGGCATTCCGCTATTATGAATAACATGAATCCATCCTTCTGGTAATATTTCAAAATGATTCTGCCCCCTTTCAATCAATACAGGCTTGTCCTTCTCTTCAAAAGATTTGTCTTTATCTATTAAATAATGAAAGTAAATAAAACACAAAGTGTGCATTGCACTTAGTTCAAAATATAGTAAATGCCATGTATTTTACTTACCTAATTCGGCTTCAGTTGCAGTTCGTTTTTTATTATTCAATGCTTCCTCTAACATTTTTTCTACTTCCTCATCGGGAACATCTGAATCACTGTCGTATTCAGGTGAATCAGACTCATTGGTTTCATCCAATACATGGAACTTTCTCTCATCGCTTACTTCTTCATTTGTATCATCCCTTAAACCGTTGTTGAACGGACATTCCGCAGTGGAATTCGTTTCAATATTGTCTACAGCTATCTGATCAGTCGTTGCTTCCATTTTTTGAACGTACGAAGTATCTTATTAACTTTCAGAAAGTTTTGCTGAAGTAACAACCGATGTTTCGATTTCTGACGGTAATAACTCAAAATAACATCTCAACTTATAAATCCAAAAATTGAAATGTCTTTTAGATTAGCACCGCAGAAATTTTAGATGCGAAGTAAAATTGACTGGCCCTACGAAAGTTATTACACTGAAATAGTTAACTCCTTACGTCTTACACAAACAGAGCTGATGTTTCCTATATCGTAATAAAGTATATAACGAATATATATGAATAAAATCCCAGAAAATATCTGTAATCCTCAAATTATGATTTTTCTCTAATTAACCTTTAATTTTAGACAGTTTTTGACGTGTGTAGTCATAGACATCGTAGTAAATATTGACAAGCATAGACATTATAAATGGCATACATATTAGTAAACGTCGATGTTGATAAGTATCCTATGTATGATAAATATATAGTTAAAAATATTGTGATCCTTTTTTAAGTTTAGTCTACTAAAAAACGAAACCCAGAAGTGAATTTTATATTTAAAGCAATATTAATAGCTTCCTTTGCCGTTTACAGATAAACTGAAATTAGTTCAATTTAACTGTTAATTACTTAACATCCTTTATCGGAAATGTGTAAAACACTTGCTAAAAAGCCAAATGGTCGTTTAACCGTTTTAGCCATAACTTAGACACTATGTAACAATTATTATTGACATCTTGTCATCTATGATCGTCTCATAAATTAAAATTGACAATTCTGTCTATGATTGATAATATGATCATAGATTAGAATATGACTGGCATGATTGGTAGCAACCATACATTAATAGCAGTTATAGATTTCCTTAACCGATGATTAACTAATGATGATTACCCTTTGTGTATCTATCATCTATGATTAATAGCAACATGGTAGTAACAGGCGTTGTCTACTGCTGCTAGGCTTTTTGCTGTGATATTTTGTGTGCATTTTTGATAAAAGATTTTGAAAAAAGTAGTAGTACATACAAAATTGGTTACTAATGTCTTGTAAAATGTATGAAATTTTCATTTGAGTTCTTGAGTAATAAAATCCACTGTGTTGCAGAACATCGCTTCCTTTGCTATGTAGACTAAACAATTAACGTTTGAAAATTGTTTAATTTTCTTTATAATCGTTGACCAGTTAGAAATTACTGTAATACATAATATTCAATATATACAATACAATATATTCTAAAATATGGCTTAAAATTACAGTCTTTAATGTAGCAAATTATTCCACAGGACTTTATATAAATTCTGAATGCCATTTATTGTGGATCATCGATTGTAGAAGTTCACATTCTCTCGAAAAAGCTGCAGTACCTCAAAGCACTTTAAAAGTGCCTTTTTTCCACCACACTTGTTCGTTTCATTTAAAAATAAATAGTTGTTATTTTAATAAGTTTATTACTATAAACTGTATTACTGTCATTATATTTTCTTTTCTTTTCGAAAACATAGCAGTACCTCTAAATAATTTTAAGTCATATACAAAATATTTGTTTGATGTTGATAGAGAAAAGGGTATGGCATTACTTTAATGTTATTGTATTATGTACCTTTTCTAGTAGGGAGGCAAACTTAATAATATCTGAAAACTTTCATAATATTTTATTTTACAGGAACATAAAAATTCCATATAGGTACAATATGTTACGAAACATTGGTTGTATCAGTGCTCTTTCACTCTGGAAAGTAGTAATATCTGAAGTGTTGAGGAAGGCGTGAAGGTGCCTTTTTTCCGTTGGGAACGAAGGCAGTGTGCGGTAGCAGAAGGAAGGATTTATGACATTGAACAGGTAAGTAACAGTATCAATTAGAAATGATAAATGATGTACCAAAAATTTAATTTTTTTTTAAACATTTGTAACTTGCTTCAGAAGGTCTTGTTGGCATTTGTAGCTCTATTACGTTAAGCTGATTTGGCCACAAAAATTCACAATGAACATCGACTTGCACTTCCAATTCCCAGTTTAAAAACGTTTTTATTTATTGATTATTAATATTTTAAACCGTGATTTTGAAAACAGGTTGAATAAGTAAAAGAATTATTAAAAACTGCTACTGCAGTCTGACACTCGGAATACTCTGCAGTGAAGTGGGTTGCCTATATCAAGGACCAACAGTCGGCAAACGTATTTAAGAGAATTTATATTTTAAATTCAAATTATATGGCACTTTCGCGCGAAATTAAAGTAGTGCGCTGTAGTCTAGATAAAGATAGAAATGTTACAGTGCGAGTCGAAATTTGTAAGCCACTAAATTTTTAGATTTTAATAAAATAATTTAAATTTATTTGGTACATAAGACGTCTATAAAAATAATTCATTTTACACCACTTAATACTGTTAATGTAAATGACTTTTTATCACTTTGTTTTGTATATTTCTCGAATGTGGACATTTTTACGTTGTGTCCTGTACATTACAGCTTTTTATAGGATTTCTGATAAGAGAAAGATGTTTATAGTTAAATATGCAGACAAAAAACTGTTTGTTTTATTTAGCAAAATTGTGATGAGAGTATGAAAATGTAACGAAGAAGTAATAGTCAGGGAGATAAATGCTTCTCAATCAAAGAAGCGATCGATTAAGAACAAAAGTAATGTATAGTACCTACCACGTTTTTTTAGTAAGCATATAGTAACAACGATAAGAACAAAGCAATGAATTTTTAATTTTTCGTCCAAAGATTGAGTAATTTGTTAACAGTTACTTCTTTCGTAGGCAAAAGGAAGTCTTCAAAAAGTACTATGACATTTTTTTTAACTACTAATAGTGGTTAATATGCAATATTAATGTGAAAATTCATTTTAGATTTTCCAACCACTGTACGTTATTTTGTAAACTTATTAATCAATCAAGTTACGGGTCAAGCTCTAATAATACATAAAAAATAGAGAAATAAAAGTAATGTATAGATATTATTCACAAACAGTTTAAACAATTATCCAAACTTCATATCAGAAAGATGCGTATAGTTAAAAATGCCGACATAAAAGTGTTAGTTTTATTTGACAGAATTGTGATGAGCGTATAAAAATGCAATAAAGTAATAATAGTAACGGAGATAGATGCTTCTTTATCAAAAACAGAAATTGATTACTTTTTTTGGTAGCATATAGTAACAACGCAATGAGTTTTTAATCTTCTGTCCAAACATTAAGAAATTTGTAACAGTTGTTTATTTCGCAGGCATGTGAAGTCTAAAATTTATTTCTACCTTTTCAAAAAGTATTGTATTTTTAATAATGTCCGTGTTTTTAAATCGCATGCCAAGGAAAAAAAATGAAGTTTCAGTTATAAAACCCTTGTAAAAAAGTCGTGCACCTTCTTTGGCACAAGAAAGGAAAAACTGGCTGTGATTTTGAATTATCTAAAATAAAAATAATAATTTCCCACCCGTACGTCAACGAAAGATGCTTGTCAATTTATTCACAACGGTTTTATAACTAAAACTTCTTACGTTCCTGTATAAGATGAATAATACATTCTAATTTTTTTTTTTTTCTTTTGTGATATGAGCAATAGTCCATATCATCTATGTCATCTTTTGGTTTTCTTTAAACAACAGAATGCAATTAATTGACTGCATTATGTGTACGTATACAAAGTACACATTATGTCATTTTTTGGTACAAAATAACTACAAATTGTAGTTAGTTAGTTACCTAATAACTTTATAAAAGCTTAAAATTCTGAATAATTAACATACATCAAGGTTATTAATAATTCGGGCATAGGAGAATTAAAGCACAGAAACTGTTTGTTAATATTACTATATATAATTACTAGAAAAACTTTAATTGCGTGCAATTTTTTTAAAAATAACAATAAGGTAGTTCTAAAATGTTATACTGCAATTAGCTAGTTTCTTAATTTCATTCGTTTAATGTTTATAAATTCAACTTGTCCGTTTGGTCGAATTTTATTATATCCAAAGATGCATATATATCTTTGCGAGTAGTGATCAGGCGATGGAACTTGCACGAAGCAAAAACGCAGATAAATTGAATTCTGTAAAACGGGGATGAAATTAAGCACGCGATTGGTTACAGCGTCGCAGACAGCGAATTTAACTCATCTGATTGGCGTTTGTCTACGTCATCAGTGCTTCATGTGGTAGCAATCGCAATTTTGCGACAAGCCTGAGAGGCGTTTTGTTCATTATAAGTTCATAAAGTTTCGAGGTGGAAGGACGTGTTTTCGCGTCTCTTAAATTCAACTTATCGAGCTATTAGTTTTAATTTGTTCTTCGTCTGAAAGGTTAGTTGTTAGTTTGATTGATTCACATTCTATTACTATTATTCGTATTTGCCCACAGCATAAATTAATTTGACAAAATTGTTAAGGGTTATATCTTCAAACATCAGGTGGCTACGACGCCATTTTTAATGTTTTGTTATTTTATTGGCTTTTAATTGTTTTTTTTTACGTGTTTTTGTTTTATTTCTTGTTTCATTTATTTAATACGAGTGTTTAATTCTTTTTTTTTTAACCATTTTCCGCATATATTTTGACTTTCATTT